GGAATTGATTGAAGTTTATTGTGACAACGTTTCAAAAAAATCGGTCGGAAAATTTTTGAGATATCGAGGTTTTAGTGACGTCATGATTTCTGAGTTTTCGACCAAAAACGGCATATGTTCAAAAAATCATATAAAATCACAGGATAGACATATAGACATGCCGTAAACGCCATTAGACTGCCAATACCATGAAGAATCAAATGGCTATCTTCGATTATTGATTATCGTTCCGCATTTTCCAAAATCTTGATCTGAATCTTGGCAATTTCTCGTGACTACTTCACGACCATGATACATGAATTTCTTAAATTGAACTTTTTTAGCCAAACACGTACACATATGATAAAATGAATGTCACCATCGTGTTCTACGCCCCAAATTACCCATAAAACATGTGTCACAGGCTGCGAATATCAGTTTTTATTTTCGGGGATATGTGCCTGCCCGGTTGACCTGACCTTGACCCTGACCTATGCTTGACTGACCCCTGCATGGAGCTGACACTCTTGTAGGCCTTATATGATGGATTGTGCACCGTTTTGACAGAGTTTATGACGAGAGGCGCCCATTGCGAAGTCCTGAAGTCCATGCTACTGAAAGCCCGATTTCAGGTGTTTGACCTGACCTTGACCTGACCTGTGACCTCAAAATTCAACTTTAAAGTACTCATCTGAAGCGTCTCGTCGCGTTCTTTCGTTTGCCGCCTCGTGCGTTTCGCTGCGCCTATTGGTTCTCGAGTTATCGGCTGGGGGCGTTTAACGCCCCCCCCCCCCCCAAGCAAACGGTGGGTGGCGAAATACCCCAGCAACTGCCGGGTTATAAGATAGGTCTCATTTCCTGCCCTTCTAATGCTCTCATCTCTTCCGTTCCCTGTTCTCATTTCTCCCTTTCATCAGTGTGCGGCTATGGGCAATCCCAGCGGTCATCTGAGGCCACGGCTGCCGCTGATTGCCAGCCGAGGTACGGTATTGTTCCTCTCGCTCGATAGTGCTGGCACGTGGCGGAAGCCGCGTAGATACTCGCTTGTAGCGGCTTTCGTGAGTTAGAGTGACCAAGGGGACCTTTTAAATAATCGAGGCGCAATGCATGCGTTTGACGTCTGTCGTTCAGCACCAAATATCATACAATTTTCCGAATTCGACAAAAGATTGTCAAGGCCCAAACTTTACAATAACTCAGCATCAATTGATCGAGAAACGATAAACTGCTTCTACGCAGTCCTTCCGGTTTCGACCTCGCAGCCTCCGCTATTTCATCACTTCTGTGTCGTCGTTGTCTTTGTGTCAACTTTGCCGGCGTCTTTGCTCTTCAGTAAACCACGCGTCGCCGTTATCTTGGACGCACCACGCGCTGCCCGCCCCCACAGGGCTCGAGCACCGCCAGAGAAGGAGCGCCTTTGTTCCCTCTTCGACCGGCGCGTGGTGGTAACAGCTGGTCCGGTGGGTCCCCGGGGAAGGGAGGGGAAGGGGAGGGGAAGTTATGTCGGCGGTGAGCTGGTAGAACACCATGTGCCGAACACACGTGCACTGAACGTTGGGGGAGGATGGGGGAAGAGCAGGGTCTGCATCTGAATGGGAGGGGTGCTGTTTAGGGGGTGGTCACACTGGAGGAACACATTGGGCTTTACGGAGTCATGATGAACACAAAGGAAATGCGCGTGCACGTTTTGCCTGATGATCTAAGATTCTTCTTATATTGGCTTTCAAAACATTATTTTAATGGTAGCATGAAATCGATTGTATATGTTGTTCACCCAGGTGCTATTTGTTTTAAAATTACAAATATCTTTCACTATTGTTTAATTTTGCCTGCTGAATGGCATCGTCGTATGGCTAATGGCGCTGAACATCTATTTTTGATCCTCGATCTGTCTGAATTCCAGATATTGTCTTCTCAAATTCCGTCCACTTTGCGTTATTTGGAACTAGAACAGCATTGTATAACAAATCTCATCGCCTAATTTGTGTTCCAGTTGGATTGCTTTATTAGCATCGATTGAGCCTCTCGAATGGACAAATGATAGCTATTCGGATGCTCCTGCATTCGGTCTAGTTGGGCAATTTATCACAATTTGCAGCTCTATTTCGGTCTCACCAACGGCATTGGTTTTGCTATCGGATGGCTGTGACGCACGCGAAAAGGTAATTGCATTACAGAGCTCACCTGTTCTCGGCATTGTTTGCTGAAGTGCATTAACATGTTGCCAACACACTGCCTTGTCGATGTGAAACTTGAGCGGATGTCTACGTTCGAAGGATATTTGCAGGCATGTTATTCGTGTTGGTTCATCTTGTTATGCTCCGCAGTTATTTCTGTCTATGGATCTGACTTTTCTGGTCACGGATCTGACTCATTAGTACACGGATATGGTTGACCAGTTGTAGCTGATTCATAAGGCTACGCAGGTATCTGAATTCATGTGGTCACGGATTATCTCGTGATCACGGCCGATTCGCGTTTTCTGATCACGAAGTGGTCATGAGCTCCACTTCCCACTCCGTCAGTATTCATGGACCCCCAACGGGAGATCGCTCCGCTGACCTGCAGAGGTCAGCTCGTGACCCTGTCGATCAGATGGTGACCTCTGCGGACCAGGGCGTGACCTCGCAACCTCCTAGGCGTGGCGTCGAGCACCTGTTTATGCTAATGTATTCAGCTCGGCTGGGTTCGTTTCCTGGTCGTGCCGGCGGAGGTTAAACCGAGCTCAGTCAGCGCCTGCTTAAACATTCAATGGAGTTTTGAAGCTAAGACGCACTCTGTCGTTCTGAATTATACGGTATTGTGTGGAAAATGGCGGGGAAATAAATCCTTTTGACCCGGGAAATTGCACTGGAAGTGAGCTCACTGAGGGACTAATGAAATAGTCTCCGTCAACCGTCACTGCTCAGGTTTAATGAATGACGATGGTCTGCGAATGTTGTAGCTTGCGAATGATATCCGCCTTATTAATATACCCTTTCCGTTTCCACCTTTTCAAGAAATGAGTTAGTTATTTTATCAGTGAATTTATTCACTTTTTGGGATATAAAGTAACGGCAACTTTGCTATGACTGTCTAGGGAAGAATTCACTTTGGGCAGCTGAGCAGAGGACAGCTAACATTCATGAGTCTGTCTTTGTTCCGATCCTCCCTAACTATACAGAACTTGTGTTCGGATTTGGGCGGGCCGGTCGAGAATATGTGGGAAGCCACAGTCCAAACCCAGCCCTGTCGACCCGGTACGGCTTTACCCTCGTTTTTATCACCGTTCTTTTGGGCGGATCAGTTGACTGTTCCGCCGTCCGACTCTGGGGAGAGGGGGAGAGGGAGGGTCAGAGAGGAAGGGAGCGGAGAAACCGGAGGTCATGGAAGGAGGTGACGGATGACAGTCGGATATGAATGATTCTGCCACTTGTCGATTGTGGGTGGCTGCCTCGGGCCCTTGCCATGTCCCTGGACTCGGGCCCAGCCGATGCCAGTTTTTTTCACGGCGTATCTTAGATCAGCGAGCTCTATGTAAAGACGCTGTGCTTGTCTGGGCTTTGAATGTTGGTGCTGCTCTTACAAGCGAAACACCGTTGTGATCCGATCTGTGTGGATATGATTTGAATTCCACAGGCCTCTAGCTTAGGGTAAAGTACATGTTCTGAAGGTATCGGACGTCGGTCATGAAATGTCTGCTTTTCGTACGAATATCCAAATGGGATTCGGAAGCTCTTTGAATATATTTCGTTAGTTTGCTTTCATGTACCTAACCTTTTTATGTTACATCCATAGATTCTGTCTATGAACTGCCTAACATCCCTCTGGCATGGAGGCAGCTTTGGCACTCATTTGATCCCGGATCTATCCGTATACTTACATCCCGATATCTAATTTTCCACACAGACCGCGTAGGCGGTCCCATGATCCAATGGAAAGGTCGCCGGCTCGACATCCACTAATTAGTAATTACCATTGATTGGTGGATAAGCTCGGTAATTTGGTCCGTAATGGCACTCCAATTGTTTCGCATGGCTGACTCAATAGCATCAGGGCAGTCTTGACGTGAAGACTGGGTATTAGCGTTATACGGGAACGATGATTCGCTGTTTCTGCTACTATGATAAGTAACCACTTGATGTAATCATGGTGGCTTTGTGAAGATTGCCTCAAAAGACGGCTTCCATTATTGGCTGTTTGTTACATTGAATAAGTGAAAGCAGTAATAGCTAACCATCCCCAGATCTTTGAGGCAGCTGTGTTTTTCGTATTTTAGCTTCTCTTAATTATGTTTTCCTTCTTGCTCCATTTCTCGTCTTTTAATCTTCCTCCTATCTCTCCCTCCCTCCATCCCTCTCTCTCCCCTCTCTCTCTCTCTCTCACTCTCTCTCTCTCTCTCTCTCTCTCTCTCTCTCTCTCTCTCTCTCTCTCTCTCTCTCTCTCTCTCTCTCTCTCTCTCTCTCTCTCTCTCTCTCTTCTTTTGGATGTCTGCCAGTTGGGAAGCCCCCCGCGACCGTCAGTTCCCATAGCCGACGATTGAATTGTGTTGGCTGTCTGTTCCGATCGCCCAAATGGACTTGGAAATGGAAGAAAATTGAACAGGACGCTGGAGAGATATATCGAATGGAAGTTGTTTCTGATCGCCTTGTTGCTGAGTGTGTGTGAGAGAAACTGACGGGCAGTGTAATCCCTGTCTTAATCCTTCACAGAAGGTTTCTTACAGTGACCAGTGACCTTTCAGGAAGATGCCGTTCTTAAGAAACTGTCGTTGATACGGAGTTATTAACATTTGCAAATGGCTAGTGATTGTAACCTTTATGAAGCGCCACACCTGTCCTTCAACCCAATTGATCGTTAAGTATGCTGCGTTTACGAACTATCCAATGCTTAATAGCGTCCTTACAAAAGATTTACAACGCAAATTTTTATTTTTCATGTTACCGTCCACTTCTTGCATTGCTGTTTTCCACCACAAACTGTCGCTAACCACACGAGTCTGCCTCTCGCATCTCTAACCCTCTCCCTTTCTCTTCCACCAGATCGCCATCAGCTCGAGGTAGCGCGGAAGGCCAACAACCTAACGGAGACGTTCGTCCAGCTGGGTCTGCGTGACTGGCCGACACTGCTGAATCATCATCTGGGGTTCGCCATCCTGGCCGCGCTGGGTATCCTGGTGGCAGTACTCACACCGTTTGTTGGTGAGTGACGCTGGGAGGGGTTGGTGGGAGGTGAAGTTGTATGTTGGAGTTGGATACCGGATATTGGATGTTGGGTCAGATATTGGATATGAGCTATTGATGGAAGGGCTCGTAAGTTGCAGTCTTTTAATGGTGTTTGTTTTACATACATTTCATATTTCACATACACTTCGCCGGTTTCACATGGCGTACCATTTACAGTGGATATCAGTATGTTTTAGACGTCATATTAGAAGAATGTAATCGTGCATTTCTTCCCAACTTGCTGATGGCGCCTGGTGGAATCCATTAAAGTTATAATCTAATGAAATGTGCTGCCTAGCCTTGTGGCTATGGCAGTAGGCCAAGCTTAAATTATGTTGAGTTTTAGGCGGATGTGATGTTTTGGCGATTTCTCGAACTCGGCCGGATGTGTGAATCAATTAACAGGAGGTGTCTGTGTGGCCCGGCGGGTCTTTGATATTATCGGTTTGTTTATTTATGCGTGGATTATGCAAGGCTTGATTTTTTGGCCCTGTCATCTCCGTCTAGACCACGTTTGGATTCCTCTAATGACGACTGACCGCGGGCTTTCCTTCTAACCCCGCCCGTTTTTTGAAACTATCATCACCTGTGTGGTCCCTATTTGGTCTCTACATGTATTTCCCCTTGAACTGGCCCTTTGAATCCATGTCGCCTCCTATACTCCCCCGTCTGACCATGGGTGGCCCCTGTCTCTCATCATATCCCTCTTCTGGCAGTCTGCGTTCTCTGTATGACCTCTTTATTCCCCTGTCCAACCCTATATGACCCATTATTGACCCCGCTCGATATCTTTCTCAGGAATGATAGTCTGTTGCTGTCGGTGTGCCGGACGGTGTGGGGGCCGAACAGACCCCTACGAAAAGAAGAGGGACAAATGCAAACGGATATGTAACGGCGTGTTCCTGAGCCTGTTGGTGCTGCTAGTGCTGTGAGTATGACGCCACCGGGGCGTGCTTTTAACGTCACGGGAGCTCGAGTATAACTTCATGCGTTTTTTTCTGGGGTCAGCATTACGAGCTGCTTGGTTGGGTTTCGTGGGTCGTGTTGACTATGCGTAGGCTTAGGCCATAAGGTTTTAGGAACTACAGTGCATCTGTCAAGTGGCTATTGAGTTGTGATATTCTCTTGTCACCAGAATTTATGTCTAAGATGGTTGTATGTATTTTATGTTGCAATGCATGAACAAAATTATTTTGTAATCTCGCCCAATTTCTGTCATATGAGCTAACATTTCCATGACAAGCGTACATCCATTTGTTTGTTTTTGCCTCATTACGTAGCAGATTCTTTGCATAAAACAGAAATCCTTCCCCTGCCGACCGTGAAGAAAATAAATTATTCAAATTCGATAAACGGAGGAATGTTGTTTACGATCACCCGCCACTTTGAACACTGGCGTTCGCAAAGTATTACATCTTTGATGCTGTATTTTTGTTTCTGCGCCATTGCAAATGCGAGTGATTTCTTCGCAGTCCTATAGTTTGCATGTGCTTTATTTCGTTTCATTATCTGCCGAGATCGTTGATGGAAGGCCATATTGAGAGACGAAGTCATCATGTAAAATCTTTAACAGGTCGTAACTCTCGTCATAACTTTGAGCTAGTTGAATATATTGAGAAATGGGGTCAAGTAGCGTGCGTCTCGACCAAGTGTGAGAGGTCTCGGATGCGGAAAATCCATGATAGGATAGCATCTATTTAGATCACTTTGTTTCATTTGAATGTACGTGAGTCATGTGTCGTCATCTTCGATATATTTTTTTTTTTTACGCGACAATCACGATCTCAGGCATGCACGCGCTCACACGCTCGCCGAGGCTCCTCTGCTCCGGCGAACTTACTCACCCTGACCCGCCCTGATCTGACCTGACCTGGCGTTTTGTGACCTTCCCAGGTTTGGTCTGGTGGCGTCGTTCGTCGTGAACGAGTACATTGAACAGGGTGTCAAGGAGGTTCCGTCCCGGCTGAACCTGGCTGTCGACGATGTGGAACTCTACGCCCAGAACACCAAGAAGGTGGGTTAATCGGGATTATGGGTGTAGATATACACTCGTAAACGGAGTTTGCAGTAGTTAGGACGTTCGGCTTACACTTGAAGGCTCCTTGCCATTTGAAGACGAAGTTAAGCTGAAGTTTGATAAGCTCACGCAATTCAGCTATGCTATTTCTCTGGTGTCAGAACGTGTTAGCATATCATGCCGCTCGTTTCCAACGCAGGCACTGATCACTTGTCTGACCTTTTCACACATTGACGTTGACACAACCGTAGCGTCTCCACACCAATTCTTTTTACGGGTCTGCCGTCATAATTTTCACTCGTCCACCGAACTATGGACACTTGTTGGAAACGGTGCCAAAACTGCTCTTAGTTTCGGGTCGCTTGGCTGACAGTGACATTAAAGAGCTCTGTGGAGGAGTTAGACGGTGTTCTTATGGCTTGTTCACGTATTATTGAGTTGAGTTATCTGTACTAAAGGACAGTGCTGGTTTACGATTCGCTTCTCACAGAAGTGTCACTTCTTAGATATAGTATCTACCACAGTACCGATGGTTCTGACAAGCTTAGTGAAGCCACAGTGTATATAAATACAGTGGCGGCAAATGCGCTTGGTCACGTGACCAAATCTGCACGTGCGGTTGTGGCGAGGGCACTTCCCGAAACTCTGGTGCCAACGGCCTCGCGGCGCCCATAGAGAATACATGGGACCTTTTCTTTTCAGACCTATCGTGTCTAAACCAAGCCATTTAGTGCAAGGATACGTCTGGTTTGAGATTCAGTAGTCTTTTGGCTACAAGTTGGCATAAGAAACGTATTTTTATCGGCAAAATTCGCGAAGTACCAGGTGGTTTTCCGATACCCTGCACGCCTCCTTACCCCCGGCGGCCGACCGGAGGAGTCCGTAGCGCTCCACTCACGACTTTTGGCGATAGCTCAAAACACCTTACAGTTAGAGGGCTGCTATTTGGCACACCTTATCTTTGCTTCCATACGCATCTTTGGAAACCAATTGCATTTCCGTCTCAGGTCAGGTCACTGACTTATGACGTCACACGTGAACCTCTGCAATAGTCCCAAAATACCGAAATTTCGCAACGCCCTCGGTGCCAGAGGAGCTGTTACAGCGAGATGATACTTACAGGACCTAGTATCCTCTAGGAGTCTCAAAACTTGTATATCTCAGATTTCTCCTAGAGGTCACATGAGGTCAGGCCGATCGCGCGACGTCACCATTACAAGTCAATGGGGAAAATATGGAAACTGCAATTTTGACGCCGAGAATGATCTAAACTTAGCTCAAGCACATGGAATCGCAATTTCATGCAATTCTTGCAATGTCCAATGCTTCACTTTTGCATCTTTAACCTCGCGTGACGTCATTCATGACGTCACAAATGTCACAAGTTTTTTCGTCAATAACTCCTGATAAAATTGAGCTGGCAAGTCGGAAAAGTCGCCAATAGACTCGGGAAGACCTATACCGAATCGAATGATATGCGATATAACCTCCTCCGACCAAGTTCGTGACCTGAGTGCCTCTGACCTGGCTTTGATCCGATGTGAACACCTTATGTTGACCCCACCCAAACAAAAGTGTACCATTTTGACGCACCGGAGCATGACAAACATGATGGTACTAAAATAGCGACTCTGCGCCGTTTTTTTTTTGACAAAGTTATTTTTCAAAACCCGAAATCGTATTTGGCCCTCGGGGCACTTGACCTGACCCTCAGAGGGCATCAGTTGACCTGAGACTTTTAAACCGTGCATCAATCGCTGCGTCCCCGGTCCCGTAGGCCGTAACGGCACACATGCTCGTTTTTCCCGCGAGGCTAGCTCAATTATAAGGCGAGGGAGTCGTACCCGCCCACTCTCGCGGCTGGGGCGTAGGTATGTAAAAAAAAACAAAAAAACTAAGAAGCCTGGTGATGATTGATGCAAGATTCTTACAGATAATGGTAGATGAAGGTAGGGCATCAGTTATTAAAGATAGGTAAAAAACAAATTTGCAGCCCTCAGTAGCATTGATTTATGCATTAAGAGTTATAGAACCATAGGCGGCGGAACGGGGAGGGCACCGGGGCACCGTGCCCCCTATAATTTTGGCATTTTAACATTAGCCCTATGGGCGTTGCATGGAAAGAATCGGACCGAAAGTCGGCAGTGCCCCCCCCCCCCTTAATTGAAGGTGTTTCGCCGCTACTGTATAGAACAACTGTAAGCTGCAGGCTCAGCTTTTCAGTTTCTACCTATGCCTGCAAACACAATAAAATCAACGGAAGAGTAATAATAGATTAATTGCATTTTATTGATGCTATTCAAGTATGAATGGTTGAACTATGTCACCGATGATTCAATATTATTTGCACGGTATCATTTACCACCACACGCCTAAATATTTAGTATCTAAAATAATGCAGTAAAATAAGCTGCGCCACGTCTGTCGACAAAATCTGGTGCCAACTCAAGGTCACACGGAAAATGTGGTCACGTGACCAATGTCCGGCAGCTGAGTGAAGCTATCGGCTCTTCCTTTCATATCCAAACCATCCATATTCGCCCATTGTCGCTGTTCTAACCTTTGAGTAGCCAGCGCCACTCCTATCAATATGGATTTTCATCCAGCACACTAGCCAGTTCTGCAGTATTTAGTAGCCTCACAATGGGTCCAGCTGTCGCTGGTGCTCAGTGTAATGGGTGTCCGTCCGTTACCAACGTGTGCAACCATCGACCGTCGCGTAATTATCGCCGCCAATCAGGCATAATTGTCCACCGTTGACCGTGCGCCGCCGGTGGTGGGGCTGTTTGATCAATATGGTGCTATCTCCATGGAGCGTTGCGTAATTTTAGACGTGCTTTTTGTGAGGTATCCATGACACTATGACAGGTGGAACGAACGTATGAAAAGTATTAAGATTGTTTTTAATACGGGCGTTAATATCCACCCAAACGTGATAAGTATAAATCCAAAATTGTGCGGCATTGTCATGTTTTATTGCATTTTTCATCTTGTTTAAATACTTATACAGTATACGGAAAACGGACTAACAAATATAAATATGTCTATAAACCTAATTCTTTTGAAGTTTATATAACCATGGATGACTGATGGCCGCGTGTAGCTTCTACCGATGCCTGAAGGATTGATGTGAATCACTAGAAGTGATCGCGATTGTGAGAAGAACAACAGCCCGCGCGGTGGAGCAACACTGAATCACGTTCCAATAACAAACATGTGTGTCTTTCTGTCTGTTATGTTTGTTTATAAAGCAGCCCGTAATCTGCGCGAGATGATTTGGTTGGCCATGAATTTAAAGCCTCGTGGTTCATCCAGGCAGATCTCTCCGAGCTAGTTAAATACGCTGAAGAATTGGGTCGAGTGGCTCACGTATCGAGCTAGCTTTGTGTTTGATTTATCTGATGCGGGCGCCTTGCATTCGCCATGACGACTTTGTGCTGCTTAGTCTGGCATCTCCATGAGATCATCCCTATTCGGAAAATCTTTGTTGAAAACTTTACAATAGCCGATGTCCTTTGCGTTTTATCTACGCCATCACAAACGAATCCGTGCATCTACGCTTTGCACTCTGCTTTGTACTGTGCAATGTGCAATTCGTGCATGCAACATTTCAACACATCCTTTGTTTACACCCATGTCAGTATCCATGACACGACCTTCATGATGGAGCGCCATCGTATAACGGTACCCGTCTCACCAACCTCGGCGCACCGGCGGCCCCCACTGAGAGACCATCAGCGCTCGCATGGATGAACCATCGATCATTGCTCTCCTCTGAGCTGTCCATATATCTGTCAGGAGGGACTTTAGAGCCACGCCTGGTCTGAGACCGGTGATATGTGAGCACCGTCGATCGCAGAGATTTAGGAGCCCGTGATTTAGAGTTCGGAGCTTAGCATCGATGTAATAATGGAGAGCCGCGAATTTAGCGTGGATGTAATCGCCTCTAGTTTTGGGAAGGGATGTGGGGGCCACAAGTGCTAGTCATAGCTTTATTGTTAATGTTGACTTCGTGGCAATGTTTCGTTGCGATAATTGTTTGATTGTTGATAAGCGTGTCCAGTGCATCCATGAAGCCAAAATCATGAGGGCCTTAACGAATTGGTTGTTGAACATTCGCATATTAATTTAGATCTGACTAGCCTGCGAAAAGACGGCAGTGTTATTCGGCTGGTGATGGGTCGTTTTGACGTGTCAAGAGTGGTAACTGTTGACTGTCTGGTGAATAACCGATCGCTGAATGGTGATTGGTTGATGACTGAGTGACGATTGAATCGTGTCTGAATAGTGACAACATCAGTATCTACATCATCACCAGACGTCTATCTCTGACACTGCCGTGTCTCTCCGTCCCCAGGAGGTAAACCATCTGCTGCGGGACAACTACCGGGAATTGCAGTCCGTGCTCGACGAGTCGCTTGACAGTGAGTTGACTGGGCTTTGCCGCTGAAATAGAAATTCTTCGTGGTGACAGTTATCAGTTGACAGTCAACACCCAATTCCTCTGAATATGTTCTGATCACTGTGAGTGTTCTAGTTTCTAATAATTTGTCATTTTTTCTTACTCAGACAGCTGTCCGCTCGTTTGACATTAATGACCATCAATCGTTTGAACACCGTTTATCAGTCTTAAACCACTGTGCGTCGTTGTTCCAGAGTGCGGTGACCGGGTCAAGGCCAAGCTTGCCAACATCTCTCGCGCGGTGGCGGTGGACGACCTCACTGTTATAGCTGAGGGGCTTAAAGATATTCGACAGGATCTCAATGTAAGTAAACCTTCCGTTAATTCAGTGGAATGGCTGAGTGATCGATGACATGCTAGGTATCACGCTGTAATGATTTCTAGTGAGGTTAAACTTCGTAATTAATCTCCAAAGACACGGAACAGCAACATGAAATACATGACCCAGAGCTGTGAAACATTAGAGCTACCATTACTTTTTTCCGCTATAACCCTGTAACCCGCTTCGCTGAATGAAACGGCTCATCCCTTTGACTGTTGCATGCCCTTGACTCCCTTCTAAGAACAAACGATGCCATATTTCGGTCCCATCTAGCATCTCATAAAGCGTAATTAACTTTGTCATCCTGCCCGGGTATGAGACCAGCGCTCATTTCCATCCACGCTTGAGCTTCTTCTTTATTCTCGCGCCTCATTATACACAACGGGCGATGCTTGGGAGTAATTTAATGCACCGCTAAATGCCTGCTCCGGATGATATGAATGCCTTTAGAGGGCTGGATCATGTCTGGCGGTTGGATAACGTGACACGTGGGGTGCAATGAAGGGACAGAGAGAGATCGTTGTGGGTGTTGTGTTATGAGGGTTTCGTGTACGCTCAATCGATAAGGAGCTGGACACTCATACCACGATTCTATTACGAGAGCTTGTGAGTTCAACTGCATTTGCGATGTAGTGAGTATATAACCTGAGTAGTCAAAGCCACCTTTTTGCCTGATTTCTGAATATAATTGCGCTATTGAACTGGTTATCGTAAGTTTTATATTCACTCTTTTCTCTTGTCAGAGTATCGACAGTTAAAACTCAGAGGGCACGTTTTTTTCTCCACTTCCTCTTGACATTTAAACCCTCCTTCCCCATTAGGGAATCGCCAGTCAGACTAAGCGGCTGTATTGCTGTCTCTATTCCCTGCTAATCTCTAACCCTTTCTGCTCCCCCTCAAAGAACTACCAGTCAAACGCAGAGTTCTTGCTGACCATACTTTTCTCATCCCCCTCAGAGTATCACCATTCAGTTTTTACCCTGCTGACTTCTAACTCCTCCCCTCTCAGAGTATCGCCAGTCAGAAGCAGCGTCTGTAGTCATCTCTCCTTCCCCTGCTGACTTCTAACCTTTCTCCCCCCTCAGAGTATCGCCAGTCAGACGCAGCGGCTGCAGGAGCGGGCCGATCAGCTGCAGGTGGGCCTGCAGAGTGTACAGGGCGAGCTGCAGCAGCTGCTGCTGCTCTGTAACTCACCCACCTGTCAGCAGCTGGCGCGGCAGTACAACCTCTCCCAGCTGGCAGTGCAGAACGAGTTCAGACAGGTATGGAAATGAGTGGCGAAGGGGAGTGTGTTTGTATGGGGGGGCATGTGAGTGTGTTTGGTTCTTTGAATAGGGATTGGGAGTGTGTCTTGGGTACATGACGGGACAAAAAGTTGATTAAAAAGATAGGAGGGGGAGGAAGTAGACGTTCATGGATTTAAAGTACTTTGGGATAAAGTCACTGATTGGGAAGGGCGCAGAAGTAAGAGTAGGATGAATTGGAACGAGCCTTTACGTACTGGTTTTCATAAGTCGGCATCTATCGACTTTTTCCCAAAGCGGGGTTAGTTCTGGTACTTCACTAGTCTCCTCTGGAAACGACAGAACTGGAAAGGGGTGGGAATAAATATTTGTCTGTGGTGAGTGTGCTTTATGCGTGGGTTTTGTTTTACAAGTCTGCCTATCCGTTAGCTGCAATGTCAGGTCGATAACATCAGCTTTACAGGGTGGTGTGTCTGCATTCGATATCATCTTCTGTGTTATACAATCTTACTTTCTTACCATACTAATATCTGTATCTACAATTTCCAGTGTCTGTCCTCTATTCTTGGAACTAAGGGTTCTTTTCCTGTTTCTTTCCTATTTCTAACAGTGTGTGCATATTCGTAACATCCCCTAACACCATATTATATAACAATAACAATAACCTAACAGTGTGCAGTGTAGGCTCGATACAACCATTACTAACAGTGGGCCGCCATGCTTTCAGTGGCTCACTCTCGAGCTTATACCGAAGGTAACGTTCTAACAGTGTGTTCACGCCCTCTAGTTGCTAGATGTGATGTGTAGAGGTAGTGTGGATTGCACCGAATGCATGCTAGTGAAGCTTAGTGCACGATTGGTAGATTACACGTTGCTCTTGCTTGCTAGAGCAGACTGTAGAGTTTCGATGATTGGAAGACGCACAAAGTAGTTTAACATAGATGTGCGCTTTGACATGCACTCGGCACTGGCTATGTTGAGAGCATTTGGCTGTGAGTATCTAGATCATGATATTTTTCTGCGTTTTTCAACGTTTTCCTGCGCACTTCACATGAATATCTCGAGTCGAAAACCTTCTGATCTTATCGCACCGACAAGTGGCGAGAACCCAATAAGTTAGCGAACACCCGCTATAGAATTTGAAGCCATCAACTTCATGCGCGCTTTTTTTTCTTTTTGACGTTCGCACTTCACAGCTTACGTAGCTCTTGAGCTACCCACTGCTGTGAGAGCTGCAGGCACGCTACACGATTTGCCCCAATTATATTTGACATGTTATGGACGTTATGTGCATGATATCAATTTGAACGTTACAAAACCGGTCACTCTTTCACACTCCTTTTTGCATGTTAAAAATCGCGAACCCCTGGTCAAACTGTGGGCGATGTCTCGTTAAAATGTGTATTGATCAACATGACAACTTACCGAAGCTTCTACTCGTATAATGCCTGCCCTCCTCGAAAATCATTACTATCTTTGTCATCTGTGAAGTATGCCATGTAAGCGAATAATAACCGCGAATTTGGAAGACACTTGCATGACCGTGATTTAAGCGTTACCCTTACTTGTTCAAACGGCTGGCAATTTTTGATCCCAACAACTCTTGATACCTACCTGACTTGAGCAAGTATCAAGCTCCTACTTCAGACCTAACCTGAGGTGATCTTGACCTATCACTGACATGCCCTTAGTCTATGACCCTAACCGTGACTTTCGCATGATCCGACATGACCCCAGCATAACCCCACCCCGACCTTGACCCTACCGTTGACCTTTGCTGACCTCCACAGCTGCCGGACGTCACCCGCACAGCCCGTGAAATCTCCGTGCTCATTGAGAACGGCATTGAGCGCGAGGTTCGCTCCGGGAAGAGATCCTTCGACGACCTGTCGGATCGGATTCAGGCGGAGGTGGCCGCGGTGGTGCCTGAAGTGCGGAGGAGGATCGTACAGGCTGGTGAGTGGGGAGAGGGGAGGAAGGGGGAGAGGGAAATGAAGAGAGGGAGAGAGAAGGGTGGGTAAAGTAGAGGGGAGTAATGGGGATGGCGTGGGAGGGAAAGAGAAAGAAATAGAAACAATGAGGGAGATAGACACAGACACAGAGACAGAGACTGAGACTGAGTGAGTGAGTGAGTGAGTGAGTGAGTGAGTGAGTGAGTGAGTGAGTGAGTGAGTGAGTGAGTGAGTGAGTGAGTGAGTGAGTGAGTGAGTGAGTGAGTGGGTGAGTGTGTGAGTGAGTGAGTGAGTGAGTGAGTGAGTGAGTGAGTGAGTGAGTGAGTGAGTGAGTGAGTGAGTGAGTGAGTGAGTGAGTGAGTGAGTGAGTGAGTAGTGAGTGAGTGAGTGAGGGAGGGAGAAAGGGAGGGAGGGAGCGAGCGAGCGAGCGAGCGAGCGAAGAAAGAGAGAGCGAGGGAGGAACTGCGTAAGCTATTAGTCCAATAAATTTTAATGTATTCTGTTACGGTTTTAGTTTTGTAGCATTCTTTCCTTATCTCCTCCATGATTTTCCAATCGCAGAGTTTCATTTCTTTCAAATGTGTTATTTTACGACTTTGAAACGTCTTTCGGGACTAGTTCTCTTCAAAACAGCGCCATTTATTGCAAAGACACGGGACTCAGCGAACTATTGGTTCTCATCATTCTGTTTTGATGTAATAACCGAACGGCGAGCCCCAACTTCTGAGAAATTCATTTGAAATGCCGCAAACGAATGGAATCTTCTTTTGTTGTTGAGCCTCCTTCAAGCTTGGTTTGTTATTGTAAGGCTGCGCTAGCTCTGAAAATACGCACAGAGCAAGACGAAACACAATGTGGAACGTGCCTTAGGCTGTGCCTAAAAGGCTGTGATGACATTTTGCTTTCCTTCGCGTAGGTATATTTGATCGTAAGTTTAAAAGGCTGAGACTGGATGGATTTTGATGGAACTTATAGCCAAAGTGAGGGTAAGCAAACATTTCGAGGGATCAATCGACGGATCGATGTTTCGGGTCAACTGGCTAAGGGATCCAACGTTCTGACAAGCGTGTGTTTGAAGTTTGTGTTTGCATTAGCTTCTGTTTTCATTTTAATCATATTCTCATCAGTGTCCTTTACGACTCGTTCTTGACCCAGACGACCCCTCCGTGAACCCGACTATCGATTCGTGACCCCTTTACTACCGTAACCCCACGACCCCTTCCGTGACCTCTGCGACCCCGCGCGCCCCCAGGCGGTCAGCTGCGTGACATCGCGGCCAACGTATCGTCTGTGCTGGATCAGGTTCGACTGGATGACGCTCACAAGGCGCTGACGGAGGCTAATGGGTACCTGGAACAGTTTGGACCCTTTAGGTGTGTGAGGGGGAGAGAGGGAAGGGAAAGAGGAACAAAAGCGAGAATGGGATGGGTTGGGGGGGAGAGAAAGAGAACGGCAGTATTGTGAAGGTAGAATAGATCGCTGGTGCCATTAACACCTGTAATCTAACGTGTTATGTGTAATGTTGGTTTATTTTGTATTAAATCAACGGATTTCTCTTATATGTGCTCACTGCTCCGGGCTCTTTGAGTCTGGAAGTGTTAGTATTATCCAAAATAACTAGAATTGAGAATAGGTGACTATCTCACTTTTAACTCACCTGTTCCTGTGCCATTATCTCTCCTCACTAACTTTTGCAATGTGCTGCGACAATGCTTTTAATGACGTCGATCCGTGTCCGTTTCAGGTACTACCTGTACCTGATTCTGTCGTCGATGGTGCTCATCATCACCTTCTGTCTGGTCATGGGTCTGTTCTGTGGATTCTGCGGACGCAGACCGGGCAATGTGTACGGTGACGATACGTGCAACAAGGGCGCCGGAGCCAACTTCCTTCTCAGGTGAGAATAAGGGACCCTGGTGCGCGCGCACGGGCACGTGCCCGTTGTGTTCTCTGGTCTTTGATGTCTTGTTCATGTTTTCTTAGTTGGAGTTTACAACGTAGTTTTCAGGAGATTATTCTCTTTCACATAGATCGATAATTGTTTGGTCATTACTGTTACAGGCTGCTCGCGTTTTGCTCAATACAGTGTCATCTTCGCTTTATTAAAAGTGAATGACATGTTGAAATATTCTGTTGACTTGGCTTCTTATCACTCTGGCCTATCATTTGAAACATAAATTGTGTTGAATTCAAATCATTCAATTCATGACTATTGACTATGCTGTCACAGTGGATGCCACAGCTCCCAATAGCGTCATTTTAATAACCCTATGACGTCACTATACCCCGCTCTGACATCCCCTCTGTTCCCCCACAGCGGCACCTTCTTCTTCTTCCTGTTCGGCTGGATGGTACTTCTCGTTGTCACCTGTATGTTCCTGGTCGGAGGCCTGGCCCAGTTCTACCTGTGTCAGGGTCTGCGGGAGCCCGAGTCTCCTGCCAGTGGTCTGGCACTGCTGGAGGCGCTGCTACCCCCTGAACAGCTGTTCCCAGAGCTGCAGAAGACCGGGTTCGATCTGGCGGAGGTTATTGGGTAGGTGGAGCGAGAGATGTAGGGGAGTGCTAGTTTGGTCGATAATGGATGGTTTTTGGTTAACTTCGCTATAATTTATCTTGTAAAACGTGTGATTTATCAAACTTATTCTCTAATTATATTTGTTTGTATGTTCTGGTTGTGGTCACCTTGACGTGACTCGCTGTGGTGTTTTTACGCTTCTGTTACCTCTATTGTACAATTTTATTCCCCCTACGCCATTAGCGTAGATACGTTTTTTAAGTCAGGTGATCAGTAAGACCCATATGACATTTTATATCTCATAATAACCCTGTGTCCGCCCCGGCAGAAAATGTCACCGGAACCAGACCATCTACACGGTGCTGAACCTGGAGCCGCTGGTGGATCTGGGCCAGCTGACACGCTACAAGGAGGAGCTGGGGATCGACAGGCAGCTCGACTCGCTCAGGAGACAGATACAGGTGCGTATACGAGGGGAAGGGGCACACTGTCGGAAATCGGGCGAGTTTTTGAATAATACTTTTGTTTCGATCATTTATATACCGATGTGATGCGGCTGTCGGCTGATGTATCAATATTTTTCAATATGTTTGGGTAGTTATTTAAAAAAAATCAGTTATTGTCTTACGTTTTTGTCATTTCTTGCCATTTTTCATTCATTGAAATTCGATTTTTTAGACGGTTTGGGCAGCTGCCTCCCTTACATCCCACTCGATAAATCGTTTTTTTTTTTCATCTGGTGCTACGCTTAAATTTTTGTTCGAGTAAATCAATTTGGTAGTTCTCATTAAAGTAGATACAACAATTTTACATGTCATCGGCCTTCCTGCAGCCCCTTGACGACATGCTTTGGTCCGGCCTCTCCCGTGGCTCTGACGGCAGTGTTTCCCCTTTTTGCCGTCAGGTGGACACTAACGTGGAGATTCTAACGCCGCGGGCCAAGAAGCAGCTGTATGAGCTGGCGGAGTCAGATGTGGCCAAGATCAACTACACGGCATTCACACAGACGGTAAGGGTTGACAGGAGAGTGTGTGGAGTTAATGGGGAGTATTGAGTAAATGGAAGGGTGGTAGGGTGATAGCCCAGGTTTGTTTTTATGATTACCCGGCTTTACCACAAACTGTTCTTCGTCCAAGGGAGATATGGCCTGTGGAAACAACGTCCTGCTGTCATAACAGCAGTGTAACGTTGCCATGGCAACTAGGACCAATCCACTTCTGTGTAACCAGCTATTCTTCAGCGAGTGATATTCCTTAACAGCCCTTCGCTCAGGCCTACCATGACAGATTGCGTGTCCGAGTATGACTTAGCCCAACAGTTGAGTTGTGAGTGGATTGTGTGCCTGGATTTACGACAGGGTATGAGGCACGCGACAGTCGGGTTTCATGGCGGAAAATTGGTCACGTATGTGTGCATTTTGGTGACATTTTGTGACCCTCTTGACCCTCGTTGAGTTCTGACCTCCCGCCGTTAACAAACTTTACTTCCTAAGCCCTTCCCTCCCCGTCGCCAAATCTCCGTTCTGTCATGCAAAGGCAAAAACTACTATGTGAGGCCAGACTCTGACCTCAAATAGTAGTTTTTGCCTTTGCACGACAGCTTTAACCCCGACCCTTGAAGATGCCCTCCCTTTACGCCTTCATAGCTGACCCCCCCCCCCCCTCTACGATCAGCTGGAGGACCGTATCACGGCGGTGGATCTGGCGGAGATGGCCGGCTCCCTGGAGGCCGCTGCCGGCCTGCTGCCGCCGGCCGAACGTGGCGCCGCTAACCGTCTGAGGAACCAGGCCACCGTACTGGGCGCCCAGCAGGAGGTGGTCGATCAGATGGCAGCCATTGTGGTGACGCTGAGGGTGAGTTAGAGGGAGGGGAAGATGTAGGGAGGAATGGAAAGGGAAGTGGTATGTGAAAAGGATAAATGGTGGAAGGAATGGAGCGTGAAGTAGTTCATGAAGGGAAAAGGAAGGCGAGGTTTTGAGGAAGGGAAGGGTAAGAGAAGCGTCAGGTGGGAAGATAAGAGTTGGGCAAATAGGCTGTACCTATTTGTTAGGATAATTTGACTTCTGTCTTATGATTGCACCAAGCCTGTCTGTTTTCTTTTAAATTCTTTCATATTTGACACAGTTTGTCTTTAATTCTGCTGCCAAAATCATTCACCAATCAACTTCATGCCTGTGCCGTGTCAGCTCAGTGTTCGTTTTTCCGGCCCTGTATATTTACATATAACCCCTAATCACTTCTCTATGTGTCTCCAACAGAACGCCACCATATCTCTCCAAGAGCACGTGCGATTTAACCGTACCAACGTCACTGAGGCTGTGAGGGAGCTGATTGGTCAGGCCGAGTCTGCGCAGCTGTATCTGAGCACCCGCGGCAGCGCAGAGGTCATCCAGGTCAGTACCGAGGTCACGCGGGGTCAGAGGTCAGTACTGAGGTCACACGGGGTTACAGGGGTCAGAGGTCAATACCGTGAGGTCACATCATGGGTCACTTCGGGCTGATATTTGGTCATTGGAGCTGGTGAAAGTTGTAGCTTAGTGAATTGTCATACGGTGTCGATAGAACTTTTCAGATAGATCATGAGACGGCAACATTTGTTTAAAAGCCCAGGGGATATGTCATAGGTCACCTGAGATCAAAAGTCGTAAAAACCAACGAAAAGATAAAAAAATATCAAAGCCCATCAATGAGGTTTGAGACTTCTCTAATATGTAATAACTTTGACATCATAAACCGTCACCCCTTACCCCTCAGCGTCAGTGACAATGACATCCCTAAAATCCAAACTCGCCATCTGACCCCTCTCCCTCTCCCTCCCCCTCTCTCCAGCTGGCTGACGAGTACGCCGCCGAGTTCCTGGCCCACCTGGACGGCTATACGGGCCGCGTGGAGGGCGCCTTCCGGAGGACTGTGGGACAGTGCGGACCGCTCAGTAACGTCTATAACGCTACCGATGTCACACTCTGCAGTAACGTCGTCTACCCGTTCGTGAGTGATTGGGGATGGAAGGACTTGGAGTGGTAGTGGGGAGGCGAAGGGGATGGATTTTTTAAAGTGGGTTTGGCAAGGAATATGAATTTTTAGTCTTTTTGTTTCGTTTTTATGACATGATGTTATATTGTTGTCTATCGGCCTCGACTTTGGTGGTTGTCGATTTGTGTTGTAAACATTCGTCAAGTTTTGCTTTTCGGTTACGTTTGGCTTAATATACTGAAAGTATGTTGAGAGTGTCATCTATACTTGGCTTCAGGGTAGCAGATGAGGGATTGTTTTATAACTAGTGTCTATTCTCGCTGACGCACCTTTCCCGTCCTGCTATGTGCTTTGTCTAAACGACACCTTTTCCTTACCTGCCACCCGCACTGAAGCCGTAGTGGATCCCATGACGTCACAATACCACTAATGACGTCACTACATGTGTGCGTGTTTCAGAACGGCTACTGGGCGGCTCTGGGCTGGTGTATTCTCATCTTCATCCCTTGTGTGGTGGTCAGCCTGGTACTGGCCTCACTCTATCGCAAAACGGAGCCCTACTCGGAAACGTTTGTCGACAAGTGAGTGTGAGGGAGAGGGAGGGAGAGAGAGAGAGAAAGAGAGAGAGAAAGAGAGAGAGAGAGAGAGAGAGAGAGAGAGGGAGGGAGAGAGAGAGGAGATAAAACGAAATAAAGGGAAAGGGGGAGGGTGAGAGAAAGAGAGAGGATGGGAATGCGTTATGGGTGATGATAATTTCGTTGGGTAATTGGTAATGCTTTCTGTTGGTGATGGTTTTGGTAAAAGATACTGGTTTCTTATGTGTGTTGGTTACGGGGATTAAGAGTATGGTGATGGCGATAAGCTTAATTAGATTCTATCTAAATGCCTCTGTGCCTGCTGCCTAACTTCTTATTTCTTTCATAAATAATTCAGCAGGTGAACTTAAAACACTGTAAATAACAACGCATCCAAGGAGCTTTGGGAATGACTAGGTATAAAATTCATTTTGTAAGCTTTCTCTAACACTGCGCTATTTTCAGTGAATATCTTTACGACGCTTATGGTGAACACGATAATATTCCGCTGGCGAAGTAAGTGGTGTACAAAATCCGCTGTGCGGGGAGGATCAGGTGCATGACGTAGTCACTTCGTTCACTGAGCGGATCAAATTCGGAGAGCTGCATTGCATGTGTTCTTTGCGCTTTTGTAGACTGCCTCGCGTCGATGGCGCGTTTTAGATTTTGCACTGCTCTTGGAAAATTTGTCGAACTTTGTCACGGAATTTACTTATCAACTTCACGCGAAACTTGCTGATGAACTGCGACTGACTTGACGTGATTAGGTATTTTAGTTGGCTTGCTGTAAGTGCTCTTTGGCTGTTTTCAGATACGGCGTAACAGTAAGGAGGTCGCAGCTTTAGGTACACAGCTTGCTGGGTGTTTACCCCGATTCAAGCTCGCTCTAATCCATTGTATGGCTTCTGGCTGTGTCTTTTGCGCTTTGCTTAGCTGATAATATTTTTACGCTTCTAGCCGCTTTAAGCTTCCGGCTGAATGCTAATGCTTTTGTGTATTACGTATTTGTTGACGTCGCTTCCGTGCATTTTGGTAGTTGTTAGTTTTATTTTAGTGGAATGTTAAGTGCAATGTGCACGGCTCAGTGCGCACCCGATTTTGACATATCATTTGTCAGGAGGTAGCGAGTTTCCTAACTCACAGCTGATGCGAAGTTCAAACATAACCAAGGTGGTTGCCTGAACGCAGACAAAGTCTCTTCATTGCTAAAGTTATCGTTTGTTTTGAAACGTCTGCAGTCAGCAGATGTTACTGTGTGTCATCCCTGTCCCCTCGTAAGAGACCCAAATATACCCAGTGTTTGAATGCTTCATCTTGTGAACTGATCTGCCGTCCATCTTGTGTCATACCTCTTCAATAGCTAAGAGAGTTCCAGTTTTTGGGGTATAGTGACCTCGCTTTCAATACGCCCTCAAGTCCATTCAAACAATCGAAGAAGTCCCCGTTATTACATTTCTTTGCCACTGATGATCTGTGCAATGCCCATTGGCCATCCTACAAAAGCTGAGCAGTCTTAGCACTGCAAGTGCTATCATCCGTATCATCTTTTTCGGATAATTTCCTTTACACGCATAAATTGTTCAGATTGAGCTGATTGATCATGCATGGACAATTGTACTGCATTGCCCGGATTACTAACTTTCTCACTCCCTTTTTCAGCGTTCGTGACCAGCGCGGTGCGAAGCGCAGCACAACAGCGGCCTCTGGTGGCGAGCGGCGGCGCACGGGCAACATGTACGAAAACAACCGTTACCATGGTTACAGTCCGGACTCACCGCCGTACACGTCTATCCCGCCGCGCGGCCAGCAGTTCCGTCCGCTGGGCGCCAGCAGCGACCACGCGGAGGATACTGACCCCAAGGCGCCGCCCCTGTGAGTGGTGGTCACGTGACGTGATCAGGGGGACGGGGAGAGGAGAAGGAGGGGATGCCGGGGCATGGGGGATTCAGGGTATGTATGATGGCTTATTGAGGGGTAACTTGGTGGTGAACTTTTAGTGGGATCTGAGAAAGTGTCAAGTGCGCTCATTCGTTGATTTATTTTTCCGAAGCCTGAATCTGCATCCCTTCATGTGCACACGAGGCGCGCCTCAGGTGCACAAGTGTTAGTTGATGCCCCTAATAAGACACCAATATCGTCATGCCATTCACAGTGACATCTTCGCTAGCTGTTATCGTTCTTCTGTCATCATACTATAAGACTAATTTGTAGCATGGCAATGCGTTGGCGACAGAGCCTCGCACCTTGTCTCCCTCACTAACGTTAGTTCCTGCTCCGACCACCAGGTGGGACCTGAACGGTGGCCCGCCGGGGTACACGGACAACCCGGCCCCGGCCGGCTATGAGCGGCCTCCGCCCTACTTCTACCCGGGACCCGGGTGAGTGACCCGACCTCTGACCTCTGACCTCGACCTCCGACTACTGACCTCGACCTCCGACTTCTGAATCCCTGACCTGACATTTGAGCGCTGACCTCAGCTGGTCGCTGGCCTCTGGCTTCTGACGGCTGGCTACTGGAAACTGTACTGTACTTCCTGACGTCAGACTACTGATCTCGACCTGTGACGAGATCTGATCTGATCCCGTGCCTCGAAGGGGTCTTGAAGCATCCAGCAGCTCATATTGACACTTCCCATATGCCAATTTAGTTGAGAGCCAACAAATTTCTATTGCCTGTGCCCATGAGGGATAACATCTATAAATCATTGGCCAGGACGTGCCCCGATATTATTATCTGTCGCCGATTCGTCATTGGGCTTTCACTATGTCCCAGTGTGGCCGGCGATCAGGCGAAGTCCAACTGGCACTGTATGCTGCGGCGGCTGGCCGGCAACCCCGAGCAGAGCCATCTGTTGTTGGCGAGGCAAACTTCACGTTCCGCGAGCCCCGTCCAGTTGTGAGCGCCGCACAGGTGCGCGATTTGAACTGCTGCTCCGCCGTGTCACCCCGCGGCTTTCACCGGCTTTAACCGGTTTATTTCAGCCCGCGCCGGTCCATTCTGGTTTATTCCGGCTTGCGCCGGTTTTTATCGGGCAGATCATACGGCTTACCGTGGCTTATCCCAGCTTTATCCCGTTCAAAGCCGGTTATGGCTGGTTTCTTTTCGATATTATGTCCTCCCAGTGCTGCCCATCGCTGCATGGCTGCCTCTGCTGTCGACGCATGCGCAAACGCTATGATTGCGCGGCGCATGCGTGGTATGATTGTCTGAAAAGTCATGAATAACTTTTCAAAGATGCATCGCAATTTTTATGAGTTAGAGATCCAGCCAGCTTGCTAATCATGCACTGGCTTGCAGTCTGTGCGAATTGTTTTATTGGGCTTCCGCCATGGTATGGCCTTTTCTGAACTTAGGCTCAAGTGATTTAGGTACGCTTGGATAGTTGGTTAAATTGACTCATGCACTTTGAATGACATGACAGTATTCACAGCTGTATGGGTATTCATCAGGCGTATAGTGACTTAGTTTGGTTCCGTTTATTGTATAGTTTTCTGCGGTGATTGCAAGCACATACGCTTTTAGACTCTTGTTGCACACATTATGCATAATGGTATGGGCTATTTTTGTCACACAATCTAACGTTATTAAATGTGTAGTTTTGTATCGATCAGAAACCTACCTATTGCTGTTGTTGAATTAATCATTGACGTAATCTAAATGGCCCAATTTAAAACGAATCCTACTAAATGAACCTCTTTAGTTGTTAGTTATTTTTGTGCTCGATTAGAAAGAAATCGGCGAAATATTCTGTGGATGTGACCTCACAGGGCCGGAGAGCGGGCGTCCCTCTTGTCTTACGACTCGCATCCGTATCTGGCGCGTGCTCTGGCCGTCCACACTCCCGACTCCGACTCCGACTCGGACTCCGAGTCGGACTCTGAGCGAGAGCGAGATTCGGGAGTGAGCGCGTGCGCTGCGGTTTCGGGCACCTCTACTTGTCAGACGACTGGTACAGATGCTGATACAATGGCTAATGTCTCGTCAAGTGCGGACATTTGTAAGAACGTGTGCTGTGCGTAGTCGGTCCTTTTCGTGGTGTTTTGGTAGTCACTGATCTAGGTTATCTAGAAGAGTTTTGATATTGAAATGCGTTTTGCGTGGTCTTAGAAGTCAGTTCTGGCTAGCGTGTTGATATGTCAAAGTCTACTCTGTAATTAATGTTTATGTTTTTTCGGAGTTGTTCAAGAGGATAAGTACAAATATTACATTTATTCAGATATTTCGGTACTCGTTGTGGTACCTTCATCGGTGAAAATGGCGCACAAAGTTTCGGTTCGTAGTTCGACAATCACATACAATACAAAACACGCGACAACGTCATCTAAAAACCTACACTTTAAATATGCCTGAGAAGACCTAATTACCTAAACCTAATTTAGCACCAAGCATATTACAGGCAATCTACCAGCTGTTGGTGACTTTTTTTTAAAATAAAACTACAACTGTTGGGGACAAACTTGTAATGTAATGTTCACAATTGGCGTAATTGTAGGACAAAATATACGAAAAAACGATATGAGAAAAGATGGCGGCCGCTGGGTAAATACTAGAGGTTCTATAAGCTAGCGGTTTGAAGACGACGATACTATGTATGCTGCGGGTCTAGGTTAAGAGAATGTCCCATATGGGGCTCAAACGGACTCAAACTCCGAAAAACATAAACATTAATTACATATAGTCCTGAGGAAAAGTTTTTTAATCATGACACTCAAGTCATCTCAAAGTCTACTCTCCTATAATGAATTACCATGAGTGATGAAAACGCAGTTGAGCTAGAAATTCGTTTACTAACATGTTCCCAATTATGTCCCGCAGTTTAGTATGCCTGTAGCAAAATACTCTTCTAATCCAAGGACGTTTCCCCGTTTCCGATGCAACTTCTCCCAAGAATGAGAATAACGCAAGGCTTCCTAAATCGGTCGAAGCCTGGCTCTTGTCCAAACCACCTAGTTAGTGACCTTGACCCCATGTTGACCTAGCCTCCTTGACCTTGACCCGGTCGTTGGTGTCAGGTGGTCGGCGGCCTGTGATGCGGTACTGCCACCGGTGGTGACGTAATGTGACGTCATATAACGTGTGACGTCACATGGTGCGGTCAGGTTAGACTGCAGTCGCTGTCGTAGGAATGGATGTCAATCTATTGGATGGGCGTGAAAAACTGACGTATAAATTCAAATTGTTTTTACGTTATAATTTAAAAAAACGTCGAAGCTGCGTCCTGTCAAAGACAAAAGCTGTGTGATTAGGCTTTTATTTAATTTCAATTTTAGAAGCAGTAAATGATTCGCTTTTCTGTCAGTTTACACGCCCATCGTTGTGTTATATGTACCCTGATAGTACCCTCCTTTGACCATTTATTTATTTTTTATGATGGATCATTTCTATGGTGACTTGTGCGTTCGATAGATATAGATGTCCTGTGCTTCCTTATGTCACGGAGTTTGTTTCGATATCACGCTAGATATTATAATGTCCTTTCTGTAGGCGGTTGTGAAGCCTTGAAGGTTAGCCTAGCCTTTCTAACTACGACCTGTCTGTTTTCTATTAGACGGTGTTGCCTTTGAGCTGTGATAATGATCCGTGGTTACGCCATGGTGACCCATTGTGCACCTTCTTCAAATGTCGATAGTCTTTTCCCTGTGATATGCGTTACAGAAAGAAAATGCAATGGTATTCGTTATATTTACCCGATAATTATTGGAATGTAAATTTGTTTGTACGTTTGTATTTTCGATGTGTTTCCTGCAACTAGCTACTCGATGTATTCCTCGCAACCTGAGACACGTTTACAAAACTTGGGGTTACAAATGAAACCCTCTTGCTCCCCTGTATTTGGTGTGGTCATATTGCATGGTTTTCTTTCTTCTCAGTATCTAGATCCAGTCTTTCTGGAATATCTCTCGATATCTAGTCTTTTTACCCTATTCGTTACCAGTCGGTTGACTCGCTCGATCGATTATTGTAGGATCGCCATAACCTGTTGTTTTCAGAATTATTGTAGCATGCAACCAATCAATGTGTGTCAGATGTTTAGGGCTGTTGACAAGGAACATGAGGCGGCTGTGGATGCCACTATTTTTTATAGTGTCGCATTGGCATTTTGTGATTAGTACGGCGACACTGCCTCTAGCCTGCAACCGATAACGCAAAACGTCATGATTTATTCATGAATAGATTAGTTTATTCCGATGCTCATCATCCGCCTAACGTGCAAGATTTTCGAATAATGCTGTAAGCGCCCGACCCGGTGTATTTGACGCCTCGTCTGATCCTCTGACGTCACCTGTTTTGACCTTGACCCGTGTCTCCCGCCAGGCCGGAGCGCTCCTGAGCCCAAGCGGGAGCCGGCAACGCCGCTGCGTACCGTGGTGCCATCTAGGATCGGCCGGCGCAACTGCAGCTTCCGGCCGGTGACACGCCGCGCCTGGGGCGCTCGCAGTTTCGCCGTTTGATGACCGCCCGTGCCCCCGGGCGCGGCCAGTCACGTGTCTGTCACGTGACTGCCCCGACGCTGTGATACGCCATGGTTGAAGCGGACAGCGGGCGTTCTGAAACGAGTGAGAAATGCGGAACTTTAACCGTGTGTAAGCCGGGCTCCGGAAACCTTTTGGTGTTGACTAGGCGGGGCCCGATTTGGGCCTTCGTGTGGGCATAGGATGGACCTTTGTGGCCAGACGGATCTGAGAAGGCCTCTCGTGCCGACGCCTGTTTGCGGCGAGTGATGTGTGTGATCTGATGCGATCATGGATCTGTTTAACTGGTACGTACCGGAGTTATCCGGATATTCCAATATGGCGTCGGATGGAGGCCATGACCGTTCGTATGTGTTTTGTAGAACCTGTTTATATGCGTTTTGACGGCTTTGAAGACAGTGCGACTGTACCAGATGTGTCCCTGCCCAAGATGGCGGCTCGTTTTAGGTTGTTTTAGCGGCGGTCTGTTTTGTTTTACTCCACGTTTCGCCGCCGTTGTGTGAATGTTTGTGTGTTTGTGGAGCCTCGTATGTCGCGTTTGGTCAGTCTTCTCAGCAGTTGGCTAGAGTCAGCTCTTAACGCCGTTCATTGGCATCCTCGCGAATATCGGCGCTTACAAAGTAAAGTGCCTGACCATGGGTGGAAGCATCGTCCCCGGCAAAGGCATGTATTTCTGAACAAACAATTATTGGCCACATGACGAGTGCAGACCAAAACGCAAGTAGGTGTCCCGGAAAAGCTTGCACTGGGGAAGACGAAATGTGCCCGGACTTAGTAGATACGTCCCATGGCGATCAACAGCTGATGGAAGAAGTATGAGCATTTCGTTGATATTGTATTCGTATTTACGTGATCGTGCGAAATGTGTGTTATCCATTGAGAAGTGACCGTGTTTTATGTAGCGCTAATAAACCAAGCGTGTTCTAAGGCTTGTGTTTTGGACGATCTTTTTTTTTACCTCATCGTCAGCTGGATTTCGTTCAGTGGACACTGGACTGTAACTGATTCGGTTGGTTTACGCAGCTAAATTTGCGACGCCCCATGTTATGTCGACCCTAGTCACAGAAAGAGTAGAAATTGGTGCTGGCATGTCGACACAATGGCTAGCGCAGCGGTCCGGGTAAAGTTAGGGTATGAAAGCATTGAAACTGGATAGGCACTGAGGCGATGCTAAACCTTGGGGTACTGGCTCGCGACTTTCGTGACTTGTACGGCTGTGCACTCGTAAATCAAAATCCTTCCTCCCATTGATTAATACTGACTAGATGCCGGCAGCGCTCGTGCGTTGCCTTGGGCCAGAATTGGAGGATCCATAGCCCAATGAAATGTGCATTATTTTGGAGCCCTTGCCTGGGACTACCATTGAACCGATTTTGAGGTTGATAGCTTAAAATTTCTTTGAGACAGAGAACCTCACGTCAAAACGGTTTTCCGACCCCAGCACGTGCAGCCTGCACCCCTCGCAGACGGTGACCCCCCTGGAAACTGGTTCAAGGTGTTACCGATGTGGCCCGCCAGTATGGCTTTGCCCGTGACCTCGGGTTGACCTGTAGCCTTGACAAAAAAATTCGTGTCACCGAAACTTTGAAGCGGAATAGCATGTGCCACGAAGCACCGAGCGAACCGAGGCCAGCACCAAAAGTTTACCTCGCCGGAGACGAATCAAACGGTCCCACTTTCGTCCCGATCGGTCCACCCATTTTGACTCCAGGTCCAAAAAAGCTTGGACAAACTCACTCACATACTCACTGACAAACAGGTTCAGCCGAACTTTTTTTCAGCGACCCACCAATGGGAATTTCCGGATGCAAAAGCATGCTATCGCATGCTTTTGATCCTCCAATTCTGGATTAGATCACCTAGCCCACCAATAGGCGGATCAAAAAAGGAGGTCTCAGAGTAGACGCTGCGAGCAAGTCACACCCCCAAAAAGTTTATCCAAATTAAAAATATTCCTCGGATTTTGATTGCTATCGCACCGTTATGCCCTTCAAAAACAAACTTTTCCCCCAGCCATAAAAATTGTTAATTTTTTCTCTCCTAGAAAAAATGCAAATTCGCATCGATTTCGGAAGCTACGAGCTGGGGTCATTTGCTCCAAATGCACCCCTCCCCCACCCCCCCCCCCCCCCACCCCCACCCTTGGGTTGGATCCGCCAGTGAGCCCACCTGACCTCACGCTGACGCGACCCTTATGAAAAAAAAAAACGATATATAGAAGCTGACGCTGTCAGAGTTTGAGAGCTTTTTACTTCCTGTAAGTTTTAACCCCCCCCCCCTCCCCCTGCGAAAGATGAGGGCACTGAGGGCGTTAGGAAGTTGCGACATTATTGAGCCGTGCAAAGGCTCACTTATAATGTCATATGTACCGAAGTGACCTGACCAGGATCTGACCAGGATCATGACCTAAAAATGTGCTAAAAAATGTGGTTGAATCACATGAGCTCACTGAGGTCACCATATCGGAAACCGCGTTGGGTCTTTCTCCATCAATCCAGGCATGTCAATGTGTGCCTGCGCCAGGGCGTACAAAAAAAAAAAAAACGACCTGATAAATACGACACCAGTCTGGTCAAGCGTCTCCAGTGGCAATCATACCAGGACACATGGGGCTGCGGAGTGCGGACGCGGCATAGCTGGACTGTAGGCGCCCGTGTCGTCCGGAACGGTAAAGATTCGGTCGGGGCCGTAACTACACGACGGCCGCAGTCAGGCACGCGCCATCGATCCAGGCCGCACCGACCGAGGTTGCAGCGTCGATCGCACCGCGGTAACAGTGAACTTGGAGCGCGTGTTGCCCGGCGCCAGCCCAGCCAACAAACCGCCCGACCGAGCCAGCGGTACCTCCGCCGCCGTTCGGCTCTACCAGGATCCTACACGGTTATACCTACATATACAGGGTGTTTCACTAAAAGTGTCAAAAAGTAAATGCCTATTAAAGATACATAGAATATGCAAATCACGTGGCTGCGCACGTGGCTTTGTTGCAAATTTTTGGACATTTATTTTTTATCCATTTAAGATATATTTTACACTCATACGGAGCGAGGGCAGGAGGCCAAAGTTACTAGTCATTTTTTCCTTATGCAGAACAAGAACAGGTTATTTACACCGCAACAGGAGGGATGGTATTACACTTATGTACATTTGGTGCCATCAGAAACATTGAAACCGTATGCCGACTTTTCAGGAAACTTTTTACTCTCTCACCTCGCTACGTTCCAGATTATAAAAGTTCCAAAGGGCTTGTTGAGAGGTTTAAAAGGGTTCCTTCGATCCCGGTTCCAGTCCAAAAAAGGCGGGGTTGCCCCCACCTCTCGGCGGAAACCGTTGAGAAGGTCAGGGTCTTTTTGAGGGCCTTTGAAGATAACAAGAAGCTAATTCCAACATCAGAAATAGCCAGGGCCTTACAAGTTATTAAAATCAACCACTGTAACGGCTGTAGCCACCAGGAACTGACTGGACCAGAAGCTCCTGGGCCGAATAATCAGCTGCCTCGCCGCCCGCCCCTGGCCAGCGCGAAGCCCCGATCTGTCACCGCTAAGCCTCTGGTTTGGTCAGTGACTCAGAAGCCCTCGCAGAGCTGAGGAAAACTCAAGTCGCATCACTTCGGGAGCTGAAGAGCACAATTCAAGGCTTTGCCGACAGTCTGGACGCTGAAGATGAAAACGGGCTGTGAGGCACCTCCGGACACGTGCCGAAACGGTGCATCAAAAGAAGGGGCAGATGTGTGGAATAGGTTTGAGTGACGGTGATATCGTTTTTATATATTCAAATGTCCAACAATTGCGGATGAAATGATATGCAAATTTCCTTAGAAAACATTGTTATTATGTGCATTATGACCTTTTACTTTTTGACACTTTTAGTGAAACACCCTGTAGTACACATGTTCGAAGTGAAGCCGCTCGCCAGCAGTAAGCGCCCAATTCACGAATGTTCCGCGTTTGGACGCTATCCGAGCCGGAAATGCTGTGTTAGCACTTCTCCCGAATACGAAAAAACAACTACAAGCAAGGCTAAACGTAAACACCGAGATGGTTAAATAAAATTGAACGTCACATGTATATTTTCTGTCAGATTAATAGGTTCATGGGCATGGGCAATGTGAGTCTCTTCACAGACCAAAGACGGTAGGTACGCTTAGCCCAGCTGTGGATAAGCTAAGACACCCACTTTTATCCATTCAGCAAACAAATGGCTATTGGCTGGGCCGCTAACACACCGGCTACTTTATTGAGTGACCCAAATTCAAGTTTACAGTTTCATATAGGCAGGTCAAGCCAACCAACCGCTCAAACAATCCCCCATACGGGAGCATCCTCTTCCTTAACAAAGTTTGTCAGGTAAGAAAGCGACCACGCAGCCAACAACTGTTGGCTGCGCACATTGCCCCAAAAGACGGTAAATAACTTTTGAAAATACCTATCTCCAATTTTAGTGTTTTCTGGACCAAAATTTTGCAAGGAATCCGATGGTGTGGTCCCCGAGATCCGAAAAATTTCCATTTTGGAGACAGCACATATTTTTTGAAAAATAAATATTCGTCAGGCATAAAAGTCAAATAAATTGAAAATATAATGAGTTAATTTTTGTAACAACACTAGAATGTGTCGAACATGAATTAGAGATATTTTTAGCTGAGATGATACTATATCTGCGCATACATGTACATGAACTTAATGAACTAGTACATTAACCCTCGTCGGCCGAGAAGGGGTGGGGCGGGTGCCGCCTCATAGGGCTTTTCGCGATAGCTTAACCCTCGCCGGACCTATTGGTTTTCTACATACGCGCCGGCCGAGGGGGGGCGGGTACGACCCCCCCCCCTCGCCGTTTCGCCCCTGGTGGAGCTAGCGCGTCGCGGAAAAAACGAGCGTGTGCGCCGTTACGAGACGCAGATATTGGTACCCGATTTTAAGGTCCTAGGTCAACCGGTGACCTCTGAGGTCAGGTCAAGTGACCCAAGGTACGGTTCAGTTTTTGGTGAATAACTTCGCAAAAAACGGCCGCAGAGCGCCGATTTTGGCAGCATCGTGTTCGTCTCGCTCAGGCGCGTCGAATGATGTACTTTTTGTCCGGGTCAGGTCAACTTGGGGTGTTGACCTCAGGTCAAGGTCAGGTCAGCACCCCCAGGTCACGAAGTTGGTCGAAAGAGGTCATGTCGCATATCATTCGATTCGGCAGGTCTTCCTGAGTCCATTGGTGGCTTTCCCGACTCGCTAGCTCAATTTGATCGGGAGTTATTGACGAAAAACTAATATGACCTTGATGACGTCATAAATGACGTCACGCAAGGTCAACATTGCAAAAGTGACGCATCTAACCTTGCAAGGAGTGCATCAAATCACGATTCTGTGTGCTTGAGATAGTTGGAGATCGTTCCCGGCGCCAGAATAGCAGTTTTCATTTTTCCCCATTGACTTATAATGGTGAGGTCACGAAAATGACCTGACCTCATATGACCTTTAGGAAAAATCCGAGATATACAAGTTGTGGGACTCATAATGGATACTAGATCCTGCAAGTTTCATTTCCCTGTGACATCTCCTCTGGCAGTGAGGGCGTTGCGAAGTTGCGACATCTGAAGACCGTGCAGAGGTTCACTTATGACGTCATAGGTCAGTGACCTGACCTGACCCAAAAATGCGGTTGGTGTCAAAAGATGCGGCTTGGATCAAAGGTCAGGTATGCCAAGTTTCAGCTCTCTATCGCCAGCGTGTTTGGAGCTATCGCGAAAAAACCCTATGGGGGGGCGGCACCCGCCCCCCCCCCCTCGGCCGGCGAGGGTTAAAACTCGCTTAGGGTAGACAGCTGAAACTTGGTATACCTAATCTTTTATTCAAACTGGATCTTTTGACCTCAACTGCGTTTTCAGGTCAGGTCAGGTCACTGACCTATGCCGTCATAAATAAACCTCTGCGAAGTCCTCAGATGTTGCAACTTTGCAACGCCCTCAGTGCCAGAGGAACTTTCACAGGAAGATGAAAGTTACAGGACGTAGTATCCTTCTGAGGTCTCACAACTTGTTTATCTCGGATTTAACCTAAATGTCACATGAGGTCAGGTCGGTCACGTGACCTCACCATTATAAGTCAATGGGGGAAATATTGAAACTGTTATTTTGGCGCCGGAAATGATCTAAAACTATCCCAAGCACATGAAATCGTGGTTTCATGATCGGACCTTACAAAGAGTGCATGAAACCACGATTTCATGTGCTTGGGACAGTTTTTAGACAATTTCCGGCGTCAAAATAACAGTTTTCATATTTCCCTCCATTGACTTATTATGGTGAGGTCACGTGACCGAACTGACCTCATGTGACATTTGGGAAAAATCTGAGATATACAATTTGTGAGACCTCTAGGTAAAGGATACTACGTCCTGTAAGTTTCATCTTCCTGTGAAAGTTCCTCTGGCACTGAGGGCGTTGCAAAGTTGCAACTTCTGAGGACCATGCAGAGGTTCATTTATGACGTCATAGGTCAGTGACCTGACCTGACCTGAAAACGCAGTTGGTGTCAAAAGATCCAGCTTGAATAAAATATTAGGTATGCCAAGTTTCAGCTGTCTACCATAAGCGAGTTTTAACCCTCGCCGGCCGAGGGGGGGGGGGCGGGTGCCGCCCCCCCCCCATAGGGTTTTTTCGCGATAGCTCCAAACACGCTGGCGATAGAGAGCTGAACGATACCGCTGGCGATACCGTCTGTTGGAGCAATGTGTGCGTGGTCGCTTTCTTTTGGGTGATCCATGATGAGACGGGTACGTCCTTTCCTGAGAATGGAAAAGACGGACAAAGGCGGCGGAACGGGGAGGGCACCAGGGCACCGTGCCCCCCTTTGATTTTGGCATTTTAACATTAGCCCTACCTACCTATTATGGGCGTTGCATGGAAAGAATGGGACCAAAAGTCGGCAGTGCCCCCCCCCCCCCTTAAGTGAAGGTGTTCCGCCGCTACTGAAGACGGAGCATTGTTCTGCAAATAATAGGTAGGTGTAGGTACCTCAAAGTTAAAACGATCATAATTATGACAAAACAGGTCAATCGCCGCCGTAGAAGATGCAGGTGATGAATCTGTTTACGTAACATAAGGATTTTAATCAAAAACCTAATGAACAGGCCATCAAAACACATTTATGGCTCTTCGGTAATCGGTGGTACTTCGTATGCCTACCAATGATCATGTCCCCCCTCTGAATTAAAAAGTGGCGCATACATATTCTATTAGGTACATTTGACAGGAAAAAGAATACCCTCGCGATTATCAGTCTCTTATTTACTGTCCTTCCGTCCCAGCTGCCGTCGTCCCTCCGACCATCCCGCCCGGTGTCCGTCCGTGCGCCGCCCCGCCCCGCCCCGCCCCGTGCCGTGCCGTGTCGTGTCGTTAGGTCACGGCGGCGGCGACACGGCCGCGGAGCGGTGACGCCTGTTTGGCGCGGTAGCCGGGAGACGGTGGAGCGGAGCCACAACACGCCCGCTCTGTTATGGTGCTGCCCGGGTGACCCGGCCGGCGCCGCGGCGGCACCGGCCCGCGGCCCTCACACCGCCCGCCCGACCCGACCACCTCGGCCCGCGGCACCTCGGTCTGCCCGACGACAGACCCCACAGGTAAGTCAGCAGACGGCGCGACAACTGCAGGAATGGCTTGTCTACGCGTATATTGATCGAATTCAAATGCGATATGGTATTTATACCAATTCATTAACGCACGTCGTTCGTGCTTCAATTCGACCCGTTCAAAAAGCTTATCAATAAATATTTCATTATGATCCTGTATTGTAAAACTCAGCACACAAACGCAATGTCCAATTCCATAGTCCATGCAGTATGCACTAAGCACATAGATGCCCTCAAACGTAACGTCGTCAGCGATTCCCGAGCGGCGATAGTATCGGGCATCGGCGGCGCGTAGAGCCTAGACTGTGGTTAGACTGACCCGCATAGCACCCGAGCAATGCGGGTAGCCTAACGCACAGGCATCGGACAGGCGCTGCGGCGAAAGGCATTACCTACTGTTTCTTATCGCCAACATAGGCACAGGAACGAGGGGGGGGGGCAGTGGGGGCAGCTTCCCCCCCCCCCCCTCCAACTCTGGGGCCGTGGGGGCGGTGCCCCCACAACTTTGAGACCGAATACCGTACTTTTTATGCAAATGTTTCCTTTTTTGTTGAAAAAGTCAAGGGATGAAAAAATAAGTAGCCTAAAACCGTTGAGAAAGCTAGATTTGGAGGTATCCTATAGGTTGATCTCTACAATGATGTGCCCTCCCCCCCCCCAGTCTGAAAGTAGTTCCCACGCTCCTGATCGCCAATGCCATTAGTTCCGGACGTCTTTCGTAATGGCCTTTGATGCAGCATGCAAATATCGAATTACGCGTCTCCATTCCATCCCACCTTGTTTTATTTTCATCAGCATTATCCGACTAACAACAAAACGTAAAAACATGTTAATGCCGCTCGTCAATGACCGTTGGACGATGTTGGCAGTTGGCACGATTGTTAAAACTGGACACGTAGAGACTGACGTTCCTTAGATGCTTCGCCGATATTATATAGCTATAAAAAGGATCGATTTGAACACCTTTGAAAGTATTTGTTAAAAAGCATAACGATGTTCAAAGGACAAATAGACATGTAGTCTCTTCAAGATGCATATTTTTTTTTGTCGATAGAAATAGCTATATTAAAAAAATAATAGTAATGGACTGCGCCAATTATAGCGGTAGGTACGATCATCACGTCCTGGCTTATGTTTATTGCATGTTACCGATGTACTACACTCTTCAGACCGCAGGATTTAGAGTCGTAATGTGCTATTCAGGGATATCATATCGATGAAGCGCTCAGACGACGTTCAATGCTCTACTCTGCTGTTATCTGCGCAAAGGATCTATGCAATCGCACAATCGATGGTCCAGCAAGATAGCTATATGGCGATCAATCATCAAACGGTATCAAATACGATAGTAGCGGCGATCAGGTGACACTGATAAGTGACACTAGCACTGCCACGGTCTTTGAGGAGTGCGTTGAAGTGTGAAGGAAGTGGCGAAGAGGCTGTCTTTGAGAATTTAACTTAACGTGAAACTGCAGTTCCATTGCCAGGTGAGGTCGTTTCCCGTCGGCAACGTTCAACGTCAGCCGGACGGGTTTGATTCAGCCGTTCAGCTAGCGACCCGAGGTCTCCGGGTGTCAGGCGATTGAGCCGATGTCAAAACATGAAAATGGGAATATTTTTACCTTTGAATTTTGATGCTTTGACTTAGATGACATCTCCCGTGAGTAACCCGACCTGTCGGGCACCTGTCGGGTGGCTGGACTATTATGCCGGTGCTCTGCAATAATCTATTCAGGCCGAAAAACTTGCTCCCGTCTCCCAGCAGAATAAGCGGTCAAAGTCTCACCTTTTTATTATTGTCGTTTACTTTTCTGGATAAAGCATTGTCGATGCTTTCATATGAAAGCTGCAGTAAAATGTATTTAATGGCCTCAACTCAGTTTACTGGCCCTGTTTCATATGCGGCTGAACTGAGACCATACTCTGTTCTAAGCTTGCTTTGAAGAGCAGTTGCTAGGCAATTTGAAGCAATTACATCAACAGCTGTAAGTCTCATTCGCCAAACGTGCTTTTCACCACTCGTCGTCAATCTTTGTTGAACAATAACTGTACGATACATAGCTTTGCAGTTATCCCGCGCAAACATGATCATGGCAAACAAGTCGAGTCACGATTTCAATTTTTGATTACAAAATGATAACACTTGCTGTTCGATTTTGCAATTATTGGTTTTAGGGCTCCCAGTGCGTTTTGGTTGTTTTGGGTAAGTTTTGAGATAGGTACTCAATGAGGAAGATGAATTTCTCCGAATGTGAATGTAAATTTTCATTTTCATTGTCTAACTGTTGGCTGTTGCTGTGTTATTGTTATTGTTATGAGTAAAAAGGTAAATGTATAGGTGCAGTGTGGTGAAACCAAGAAACTTTGGTGTAAGCCAGCGCTACCGTTACCGAAACTTTAAAGTAATCTCACCTGACCTTACCTTACCTATAACATTGAACCTGCCAACCAACTTACAGAAGTACAGACCTACAAACTACCAACCTAAAGGCTAAAACTTGCAACCTACAGTATTCATATCAATATAGGGTATTTGTCGGTCAGACTGGGAAAAAATACACGGTATGCCGTATATGTCCGGCATAGTGGCGGGATTGCGCTGAAAATTTCAGCGCACGTCTGCCACAACTTTGCATTCGCTGAATGAATTCAGCACAGGGCGGCGGTTGATTTTTTTGGTGCAGGGCGGCCGCATAATTTTTTGCTGAAAGATGGTCACCAAATTTATTCGGTATTCTCTTAGCAGACGTCACCCGAGCTGCCATATCCAGTTAGGTAGGGTAGGTTGTAGGTTGTAGGTTGGTAGGTTAGGTTGTAGGTTGTAGGTCAGGTTAGGTCAGGTTAGATTATGTTTGTTATATATTTAACCATGAAAAGACAATTGTTGCGCACGTGAGACGTAGATATGGCAGCTCGGGTGACGTCTGCTAAGAGAGTACCATTTATTCAGCGTGCTGGTTAATTAGCAGCAGATTCACCCTGCGGCGGCTCTGGGGAGGTTTTGGAATAAGATGTCCTCGCCCCAGTCGTGTGCTCGAACTGGCGAGCCGCTCTGGTTCTACTCAGCAGAGGAGCGGCCGCCCAGGTGAGGCCTCAACCCTCGATGTGGAGACAGATACCCATAAAAGACGTTGTTGAAAATCGCCGAGCGTCGTTAAGTAATACTGCAATACCGCCCAGTGGCGGTATTGAGGGGAATGAGAGCGCGTATGACCTGGCGTAACAAGCGGCCACCCTGCCCTCAAACACCCGTTCGCTGATCAGGGCGGTTCATTGTGCGGCCTCGTATTAATGGCGTGACAACTGGTCCGAGCCACTCCTTAGGAGCACGTCACCGCTCCCTATCCCCGGAGCGGACCGAGAGGACGTCGTTTCGGTGCACCACCTGAGGGCGGGCCACTGGGGCCGCTCGCTCTTGTATGTGCACCGAATCAGCTGTCTCCACTCCGCGGCATGCCAGCAACGCCCAAACAAGCGGTGCCCCGCGGCGCTCTGCGCCGTGTGCCGAGAAGAGGCTGATGTGCTGCTCTACTGTCCGGCCCTCACTGGCTCCCGCCAGCCTCGAACACACCGCTGTTTCGGTTTCACTTAAGCTCACTCACCACGCGTTCGTAAGTTACATTACACTGATAATGCAAGCCACATTTTCCGCCGATTTTTGTGGCCCATGAACTTACGGCTCTGTCCTTGTTTCACGGCACGACGCTACATTGTGCTAAGCGTATTGAGGTATTGGGTTTCCGTGGAAATAAAAAACTTATTCGGACGCTGAACCATGGAAGAGCGTCCAAGGCCCCGGAACGCTCTGTCTGGTTGATATAGCCTTGATTGGTAGATGTGCACATATATGTGCTTTATATATAAGTGGCTTAATTTTGGCACAAATAGGCACCCAACTTTTGACGCAAACAGAAATTTCAGCGCAAAATCGCTTGCGCCGAATTTCGGCGCAAGAAGGCCTACAAACGGCGTAGTGTATGGATGTTTTCCAGTCTGGCTCGTCGGTTAGTATAACCTTTGCTATTCGACATGACTGTTTGAGTTCAGGCAAGACCTTTGATGATTCGTATAAATGCTTCTTCATTCGTTAATATCTGTTCGTCATTTACCAAACAACCCCATTCCCCATACTAATTTTAGCATTCCTCGCAATCGCAACATTTCGTCAAAAGTGAAAACAGATACACTGCTAACTATATGGAGAATTGGAGAAGGTTAAATATGGCCGCGTTTCTACAGTGCAGTGCCACTTACCAGGCATATGTGGCGAAACTCGTAGGTTATTTATTTAACAAAAGTTGGTATCTGCCCAGGAGCGCCGTACATGGACATAACTTACTGGCAATCGGCTAATTGAACAATTAACAGGCACCAGAGCGTCTGATAAGTCAACCCCGCCTCAAACACCAAGGTGTCCGGCCGTCCGGGCCCGGCTCGCCAACTGTCAGTCATTCGCCTGTGGGTACGACCGGCCCCCGGAGGCGTTGTCCCATGACATCGCTCGGGCAGTGACGCGATTATGACGGCCGGCTTCGTGGTTTGTACCGAACCTAAACCTAAACGGTAGGTAGGTTTAGGTTGAGGTTTAGGTTGAAGTCCTGGAGGTTCTGCAGAGCTGATGAACTTTAGGTGACTGATTTTGTTTTCAGCATCGAAAAGTTGACTGTGACTCCAGGTAGCACTGGTAACTGTAGACTCTGACTGATTATGACCTCATAGCCCTGCTACCAAGGGTCCTAACACTGATCAGAGGGTGCCAAGCAACACAAATACTTTTCATCGCTTGGCATCATTTCGTCCATCAATGGGACATATGTATATGAATAAATTTGTTTCCACAGCTCATCTAGTAACAGTGCTGTCCCTCTGGCACTAGCGGCACCAAGATGCCGAAGGTTGTGCCCAAGGTGGTGCGTCGCAGCACCAGCTCTGACTCTGGTGCGCCGGCGCGCAAACGGAGCCGCAGCAGCTACGATGAGCCTAAGGAGACACTGGTGAGTTGGAATTAAGGTGGAATCACTGCACCGCGGGTGACTCGGGACTTTAAGTTGGGCTAGAGATGGGAGAGGACCAAACACCATGCATTCTCCCTGTCTCAATTCTTCTGCGATAGCGTTGTTACCTATTTGTGCATTCTAGCTACTCGTAAATACTGAAATAGAATACCTAGGTATGCTAAGCTTTCAACTGTGGACCATTAATTATCTGTAAGCCATCGCTAGCTCCATGTCGTAAGGTGTGGTACTGAATTATGAATGTGTCATCACAGCTGTAGAAACAACCATAGCCCACTACAGAGTAGACAGTGAACTACTTGTGATATCCTAACGCGCCTTCTATCTCCTCGCAGCCCCAGGGTCCCGGCTTTCTTCGTAGCATCACGCTCAAGAACTTCATGTGCCACGAGCACCTCAACTTCAAACTGAATGAAAGGATAAATTTCATCAAAGGCCAGAATGGCAGCGGGAAGAGCGCCGTGCTGACGGCAGTGATGGTGGGACTGGGGGCTCGCGCAGCAACCACCGACCGCGGCAGCAACATCAAAGGTCAGTTGTGCACAGCGCGGCCCACAACACTGCACTAACACATCGTTCCGTGCGTGTGCCAGGACTTCAGCTCCTCGCCCAGAGCCCCCAACCAAGACTTTGACTCAGGTTGACTCGTAGTCTGCTTCCACTGCGTCAGTTGTAGCTGAAGTCATAATTTTAGTGTATTGGAAACAAAGTCTAACATTACTGGCGCCAATGACCCCGGAAGTTCGGAAACCCTGAATTCACAGATTATCATATTTCGACCGTCTTTTTCGTCGCCAGGTCTGATCCGCACTGGTCAGAAGTCCGCTGTGATATCTCTGACTCTGGACAACAGCGGCTACGACGCCTTCAGTCCGGAGAAGTACGGCGGCCACATCACGATCGAGAGAAGTCTGAAAGACAGCGGCGGCAGCACTTACCGCATCTCCAGCGAAAAGGGTGAGTGTCTCCGGCGGAAACTGGGTGAGCTCAGGAAAACAGAGGCCACATATCTACAGCCGTATGCCGAGGTCTATTCTACAGCAGTGACATGCTTTTTAGCCAGTGACATGCTTTCCGATCGCCGAGCCTTTTGGCGCAACATCAGGGACTTCGCTTTCCGTCCTTCCCGTGGTGGAGCTGGTGCTGGCGAGGGGGTACCACCGGGTCAAGAGGACACTTTTAACGCCCATTTCGCAGCTGTTGGGCCGCGAATCGCTGCTGAGCTGTCCGCCAGTGACCCCTCCCCACTCCCGCCGCGGCCGCCGTGTGTTACGTCGGCGGGGCTGCGTCTGCAGCCTGCCACGCTGCCGGAGCTGTCGCTGGCTCTGAGCCGGTTGTCTTCGTCCCGCGCAGTCGGGCATGATGGTGTACCGCTGCAGGCTATAAGATCGTGTTTTACTGTCATAGGCTCTCATATTTTACACATTGTGAACGCGTCCATCATTTCTTGTACTTTTCCCGATACATGGAAGCTCGCTACAGTCGTGCCTTTGCACAAGTCCGGTGCCAAAGATCTACCAGGCAATTTTAGGCCAATCTCTATTTTACCTGTGTTATCAAAAGTGTGTGAAAAAATTGTTTGTACTCAGCTGTCATCTTATCTCGCTCGCTGTCACCTTTTAGCTCCGTCACAGTATGCTTACCGATCTAGACACTCAACGGAGGACGCGCTGATCGACGCGGTGGAGTGGATGACGCGGCATGTCGACGATGGCGATGTTGTCGCCGTCACGTCCATCGACTTGAGCCGGGCGTTTGACAGTGTTGACCATGACGTTCTGCTTAGAAAGCTGTGCTGGTATGGTATTGATCCTAGATGGTTTCGTAGCTACCTGACTGGTCGACGGCAGGTGGTGAGAGGTGGTTCCTTGTTCTTGCCTCTTTCCCATGGGGTTCCGCAAGGTTCCCTAGTCGGTCCCATCCTCTTCAGCATCTTCACAAATGACCTTCCATCCTATCTTCCTCACGGTCGCCTCATCTCCTACGCCGACGACACCCAATTACTTGATTCGGCCCGTCCTAAAGATCTATCCATCCTTAAATCCCGACAGGAGGATACCCTCCGTGCTGTCCTCTCCTACTTCACATCCAACTCCTTAAAAATGAACCCATCCAAGACCACTCTGCTCCTTGTCGGCACTGCCCAAAACCTTAACCCTCGCCCGTATTGGTGTTTTTCCAGCCGCGAACGTATAAGGGGGGGGGGGGGGTCCGTTGGACCCCCCCCTTGCCGTTTCGCCCCTGATCGAGCTAGAGCTTCGTGGAAAAAGCGAGCGTGTTGCTCGTGACGAGAGGAAGCCGATGATACCCAATTTTAAGGTCCTAGGTCATTGGTTGACCTTGCAGGTCAGGTCAATGACCCTAAAGGCGGGAAAATCGGGACCTGTTAGAACGTCGTAAAGTGTGGCTGCTATGGGGTTTTTCGGGGTGCTGATCACGAATATCATGTTAGTTTTGATCACAGATGATGTCTTCATGTATTTAGGCCAGGTCGGGTCAGGTCAGGTCAGGTCAACCAGTAAGGGTATTCGTAGTAGGTGGCAACCGCCTCTGACAGCTTCGTAACATGTTACGAAGGCACCAAAACTACTTCGTAAATGTTCATATGGTTGCTAAATTCGAATTCAGCTCCAAAAACTGGCCTAGAAACATGTAAAACTCGAAAAAGTGTACCGAGGTCATCAAAGGTCAATGACCTGACCTGACCTTCAGGTGACCTTGACACCCAACCTAATGCATGGGGGCAACATCATATCACATGTTTGAACGCTTGAAACCACGAAAAGACTGCAAACGCGCGGCTAATGCGAGCCGACATACGCCGAATCGCGATTCCAGCCAAACATGGTCTCGAAAAGTAGGTCACAGGTCAAAGGTCATTCGGGTCAGGGTCATGAAATTTTCAGGGTAGGTGTGAAATTGATGAACGCGAGGGTACTGAAAGTTTCGTCGCGATCGGCCGCTTTTTACGCGAGTTATTCGCGAAAAACCATGGGGGGGGTCCGTTCGACCCCCCCCCCCCTATACGGGCGAGGGTTAAGAAAACCTCATCCTTCCACCTTAACCTGCCAGACTACTTCCTAACACCCTCGCCATTCGTGAAGATGCTGGGAGTGACCCTAGACCCCACCTTATCCTGGGAAAAGCACATCTCCAACGTTGTCAAAAAGTGCAATTCCATCCTTATATGTCTGTATAAAATTCGCCATCATCTTAGTCCCGACATCCTTATCCAGTGTCATACCTTTCCTCACATCCTGTACTGCCTCTCTGTCTGGGGTGGCGCCGCTGCATGCCACCTTCACCGTGTGCAGAAGGCGATGAATTTTGGTGCGAGGGTTGTCTCTGGCGTGCGCAGGCATGACCATATATATCGCCGATCCTAGCTGCGCTGGGCTGGTGTGACGTGCGCGAGCTGGTTGAGCGCCGTGACTGCCTCGGCGTCTACAGGGCGCTGAGGGACCCGCACGCTCCCCCGGCGATCCGCTCCCTGTTCGTCCCTCGTACAGCGGTTTCCCGGCGCAGCACCAGGTCGACTGAGGCAGGCGCTCTCGAGCTGCCTCCATACCGCCTGTCCGCGTCGCGCCGCGCGTTTTCTTACCGAGCGGCCGCGGCGTGGAACCGCCTGTCGCCGGCTGTCACCGGCTCTGTAACCCGCGCCGAGTTTCTGCGCCGGCTGTCGAACTAGTCGAGGGTCTGGTTTGTCAGACTTTGGACCGTGTTTTTATATACATATCTCTTGATTGTGATTTACTGTGATATTGACTGTGTCATGTTTTTATCTATGTACTCTGACTCGGACTAAATATTAAGCCACTATGTGGAAATGTCCTCAATACACCGAACTTGAACTTGAACTTGAACTACAGCAAAAAGCTAAGCTCAGATAACTAGGGTTACTATACGCGTTTCTTCAGGAAAAGAGCGGTGTATAATTGTCAGGGGTTTCGTATTAGTGTTGGTTAGTGTTGTCTGGTAAGTGTTGAAAATACGTCACCACTCCTGACTCAGGTCCTCTGCTTTTTACACTACTCTTTCTATGATGTAGGTAAGTTTGATACATAAAGCATCTGGTCATCAGCCCAAACTCTCTTAATCACTCTCTTCACCGACCCACCACTCTTTCCTCCAATACTCTGACCACTCTATCCCGTTTCATTACAGAGTCGCGGCTCCGTCCGATGCAGAAAGGCGAGCTGGCGACAATAACCGACGGCCTCGGCGTACAGGTGGACAACCCGCTGGTCATTCTCACTCAGGAAACGTCCAAGAACTTCCTCCGTGGGGAGGTAAGCGATCACAAAATTGATCACAAGTGACTCTGTGTTTGTTTTGCTCGATGGCTGATTTTTTTTCCTCAGCCAAAAGACTGGCGATATATTCATTTATCACTGAACCATCCAACGTGTGCATGTGTGTCTGCTACTTTTTATATTAAACTCATAAAACGCTGTTGGTCTGACCATGTTTTTCGCTGATCGCTAGCTCCCCACACGATGAACTTTCTGTCACCGAACTGCTTTCCAACAGGATCCGAAGAAGAAATATCGGCTGTTCTTAGACGCCACCCGTCTCACCACCATCGAACGATGGTACGAAAAGGCGAGACGAAACGAGAAGATCACGAGGCAGGCGATAGAGTCCAAACAGAAGGTAAGGAGTGCCAACAGGGCGCGGTGGTCAAGGCTCTATAAACGGGCTCTCTGTAGGACGTGGTATAAGGACTAAGTATGATATGGAATGGGTCTGCCGAACGTGTGTTAAGCATGCCAGCAGTGTATTGTTTTTGTTAAATTGCATTACATTATGATTACGTTTTTTTATGCATTGTTCATAAAGTTAATTGTTCATTGCCTCACATTTAATTTTATTGTGACGTCATGGCATCGACAATGTTTCATTCACCTTTTTTTCTTTGAGACCCTTTTGAGTGTTTTCCTATAACTGATGTGTTTGATTCTTCTGCATTGCTGTGACATTTTATTACGGAGCGAGCGAAGCGAGCGGAGTCTTTACTTAGATTAACGGAAATTTCTGAGTATGAGCGGCCGGCCGGCCGGCCGGCCGTGCGGACGCTTTTGCGAGGCTTATATCTCAGCAACCACTTGACCGATTTACACGCGGTAATTTTTGTAGGGTAGCTTCATTCCTTCTACCAAGTATTGGACTATTCCCGATGCATGTGGGTGACCCCTTATGCACGTGCCACGTGCAAAACGAAGAGGTGTCAGTTTTGTAATTGTTGCAATATCTCGGTAACTACTTGGCCGATTGCGCTGAAAGTTGGCATGTAGGTAGGCACCCACTAGGCACTGCATATCCATGTGCCAGAGTTGGGGTGCTGCTGCACGTGCGCACGTGCAGGGGTCGTTTCTAGATCTCGAGAACGGCTGGACCGATGGCGCTCAAATTTGGTACACGGTTAGGGACCAGTTAGTAGGGTGCCGTGCACAAGTCAGTTGGGACCCATTTTGCACGTGCGCACGTGCAGGGTGCCGCTTCCAGATCTCGAGAACGGCTGGGCCGATTGTACTCAAATTTGGCACATCGCTAGAGACCGGTTAGTAGGGTGCCGTGCACAAGTCAGCTGGAGGTACCCCCTCGAAATTTCGCACGTGCAAGGCTCACCCTCTCGCTCGCTCCGTTAGTCGCCCCAAAAGGCGCTATACTGGTTCGCTAAGACCATGCAGTTTCATGTAGGCTGATCGTAAACTAATCACATGGTTGTTACGGAGCGAGCGAAGCGAGCGTAGTCTTTCCTTAGAGTAACGGAAATTTCTGAGTATGAGCGGCCGGCCGGCCGGCCGGCCGGCCGGCCGTGGTCACGCTTTTGCGAGGCTTATATCTCAGCAACCACTTGACCGATTTACACGCGGTAATTTTTGTAGGGTAGCTTCATTCCTTCTACCAAGTATTGGACTATTCCCGATGCATGTGGGTGACCCCTTATGCACGTGCCACGTGCAAAACGAAGAGGTGTCACTTTTGTAATTGTTGCAATATCTCGGTAACTACTTGGCCGATTGCGCTGAAAGTTGGCATGTAGGTAGGCACCCACTAGGCACTGCATATACATGTGCCAGAGTTGGGGTGCTGCTGCACGTGCGCACGTGCAGGGGTCGTTTCCAGATCTCGAGAACGGCTGGACCGATTGCGCTCAAATTTGGTACACGGTTAGGGACCGGTTAGTAGGGTGCCGTGCACAAGTCCGTTGGGACCCATTTTGCACGTGCGCACGTGCAGGGTGCCGCTTCCAGATCTCGAGAACGGCTGGGCCGATTGTGCCCAAATTTGGCACATCGCTAGAGACCAGTTAGTAGGGTGCCGTGCACAAGTCAGTTGGAGGTACCCCCTCGCAATTTCGCACGTGCAAGGCCCACCCTCTCGCTCGCTCCGTCAGTCGCCCCAAAAGGCGTTTTACTGGTGAATCACATATGCCATATTTTCATAAACTTTGCCCAGTGGCCAGTTTGTGTGATCTCTGAATGAGGCGTTACCGTCTCCGTCCAATATTTTCCCGGTAGAGTCTGGTCGCTCTGAAGGAGGAGGTGAAGAAGTGGGAACGCGAGGCGAACCTGCACAAGAACCGCGCGGATATGAAGCGAAAAATCGCGACCCTGAAGGCGAACCTGCTCTGGGCCAAGGTGGGTGCCATCCACGCTTGCCTGTCATGCTCTGTGCCTGTGTAGTTGAATGGTTACACTCGGAAATATTGCCGGATAATGGGCGGGTAACTTCTCATAGTCAAGCCTCACTTGATAAACGATAGGCTGTCGCATGACCGAAGCGAGCATGAAGATCAGCTCAACCATGTAGAAAACCATTCCTTGTTCAGGGTCTTATATGTCTGGTATTTCCTTGGAGACTTCTCAAGCTCATATTTTCATATAGTATCGTACATACTGTATCGATGTCTCGTACCGATTCTGGTTACCATATTGAACCAAAGCCGTTAAATACATCTTAAATCATTGACAGTATCTTTGCTTCCACTCTAGGTGATAGAAGAGGAGAAAAAACTGGATCTGGTGAATCAAGAAAAAGAAAAGAAGGAGAACGAAGTAGTGCGCTTTCGTACGGAAAAGGAGCGTCTCACGAGAAAAGTGGAGGAGAAGGGGTTCGTAGTGTACTCTAAAATTAAGGGCAGCTTTTGTTGTTTGCGAGTTTAACCTATTTGATGAGTTTCTGCATGCCCCGTTTTCAAATGCAGTGCTTTTTCACTAGCTCATTTTTACAACGAGCTTAACCTAAGAAAGTTACCCTTAATTTCGCTACCCATCGAATTTAACTTCGTTACGAATCGTTGTCGCCAGTTTATCTCCACATATCGTCTTTTTATCCTTTTTATGTAGCTATCCGTAGGTATGCCCTCATTTTGACTGACCACCACCCAACTTTTCCCTCTCAAATAAAGCCCGCAACTGTTTTTTTTCTTTCGTTAGTGAGCTACGAGACCTGCTCGCTCAGCTGGACCGGGAGCGCGCGGAACAAACGGCACGTGCTGATCAGCTGACTGCACAGCTGCGCGAACTGGCTGCGCAGAAGCGTGACACTGGACTGCAGATTCGGCGCGCCGAAGATATGGCGCGAGTGAGCGCGGAGGAGCGGGACACACTGCGCGCGGAAATCGAACGCCAGAGGAGAGAGTGAGTTGTGGTCACGTGACGGGAGAGAGGAGGGGAGAGGGGTAGATAGAGGGCTGGATGTTGGTCACAGGTTGGATGTGATGTTGGATATCCTTTTCTGGATGATGAAGCTGGTTGGATGTCTTTTTTATGCCGGTAGCTCTTTTACCGATTGGGAAGTTGATAAGTTGTTTTAATTGTAGACTCAGGGTCAACAGGAAACGTTTTTAAGCAGCTAAATAAATCGAGTCTCGATTCTTAGTTTCCCCTTCACCCCCCCTCCCCCTCAGAACCCAGCCCGACTACGAGGCGGAGGCCGCCCAGCGGCGCCGGGAGCGTGACGAGCTTACCGACCAGCTGAAGGAGCTGCAGGCCACGGAGAAGACGCGCGCGGCGCACCTGCAGCAGGTCACCGGGTCGGTCAAACAGCAGAGGGAGGAGCTGCGACAGAGTGAGGCAGAGCTGCAGGAGATGGAGAGAAAACTACGTGAGCAGGAGTGGGAATGAAGGGAGGGGGGAGGGAGGGTGACAGGAGATATTGATTGTTGGGTAGGTTTGATAACGCAACAGTCGGCGCCTGAGGATGATGACTGTTTGGCTATATATCAAGGTAATGATGAACTCAGGATGAAACTGGTGTTATTGTCGTTACTCGCCAAATGGATAGTGTTCACTGTTCCGAGACGAAAATAAGTTGCGCTTGCTACGCTTGGTTTAAACAAAATACGTCATGCCTATTTACTTTGGTTGTGTATTGTATTGTAATCTGTTTTTAATTGGGTTAAGCATGCATCATTCTTTGGTAAAATTGATATATTTTTTCAATGAAAATAATGTCTAAATCTGATGCTTTTTGGCCCATTTGTGTGAGACCGGTGAGCCACTGTGCGCAGGTGAGCTGGAGCTGCAGCAGCGCCAGTACCGCTCCAGCCAGGCGGACCCTCGCGCCGTGTTCGGTCCCTGGGTGGCCGCCGTGGAGCGCGACATCGAGACAGCCGTCCAGCAGCGTCGGCTCAGAAAGAAACCCATCGGACCTGTCGGTGAGTGAGGCTCCGTGGTGGAGGCGAGCTTAGTGTAGTTTGTGCCAGATGAACGACATTTGCAACCCAATTACAGAATATGAAGTGACATAAAATATTGCATGACTGAAGAGCAAGCAGTCACGAAGTTGATTATCTTTAATGGTCGTGAAATTGATAATAGTTTACCGTAGGTAGTTGGCCAGTTTTACAGCTGAGATGAGTCGTGGTGTAGTCGACGGTCGTGAAAGCGTGTAGCAACGGAACCGTAAACCTGTCTCGCCGAGTTCAATTGGATGGAGTTAATAACAGTCTCCTTCTCACTCACTCGCGCACACACGCACGCACTCACTTGCTCACCCACCCACTCACTCACTCACTCACTCACTCACTCACTCACTCACTCACTCACCCACGTTTCCACCCTTCCTCTCTCCAGGTGCGTTCGTCCGCGTAAAAGCCGGCTACGAGGAGTGGAAGCCCCTGGTTGAGACGTGTCTCGCCGGCCTCCTGCGTGCTTATCTTGTGGACGACAAAGGCGATCTGCCTCTGGTAGCCGCCATCCTGAAGAAGCACACGCAGAATGAACGAGACCGTCCGCGCGCCATCGCCTCTAAGTTCCTGGCGGAGGTGAGAACTGAGGGCGGCTTGTGGGAGGAAATGTTTGGAGATGTGCTCAGTGATAGAGAGACGTTCGTACGAGTTTTGATAGTGCTTATCTGGTGCCGATGGGATGCGTTGGGCTGTTACTGGGTCTCAGAAATGCAGGTGAAGTTTTGTAGGGGTTCCATTGTGGGTATCCGACCATTTTCACGAGTTAAAATGCGGTTATGTGTACATACCTGGTATATTATGGTTTGGAGCTTAAAGTATGTTCGCCCTGAGCTGGCCTCACCTTTGATCTGAACGAGCGGTAAGGTAAATGTATCTCCTCGTATCTGACGTCGCCATTCTCCCCCTTTCTCCCGGCTTCCCCCTCCCCCTCAGGTTCACGACATCAGCACGAAGGGCATCAACACCAGCTCTGGCCAGCACGTCTCGGTCTGGTCCGTGCTCGAAATCGACAACCCAGTCGTGGCCAACGCGGTGATCGACCAGGCGCGCGCCGAGTCGGTGCTCCTGCTGAGAACTGAGGCGGAGGCTCGTGCCCAGATGGCGGACCGGCAGCGGGTGCCCCGCGGCTGTGCCCAGGCGCTCACCCAGGCGGGGTTCCGGTACTTCCCCGATCCCAACTACCGGACGTACCCTGTGAATGTGCCGCGACAGGCGCGCTACCTGCAGGTGTCCATGGAGGAGGTGATTAGGTGAGAAACTGGAGACAGAAGATGGATTTTGGGAGTTATGCAGGGGTTGATCATAGGCCCATAGGTAGTTTTTAGTTTGGTTTCCATAACACCTCATCATTTTTCGCTGTGGCCTTAATTGCCATAAAATCACCAGGATCATAGTCGCGCCCCACCACTGATGCCCACTCTCACTGACCCCCCCCCCCTCCCCCCGCCAACAGCGACCTGGCCCTCCAGCTCCAGGAGCTACGTCCAAGGCGCAGACGACACCAACCACCTGGAGCCGGCCCAGGCGGCTCTCCGAGAGTCCCAGCGGCTGGAGTCCGAGTCCAAGCGACTCCTGACGACGCGCGCAGGCGTCAGGGCGAGCTGCGCAGGAAGATCAGAGAGCTGGAGTCCCACGAGGACCCCGAGCCGGTCAACCTGCAGGCGCTGGTAGGTGGGGATGCTGTTTAAGCAGTAAAAAAATGAAATGAAACCAAAACTAAAATGAATTAAGCACACCGTGTACACACTAGCACCTAGAACCGGGTGCATGTGTCTTATTTCTGAATATTTTGCCCTTATTTTCACAGGAAGAGGAGGTGAACGTCCTCGATCGCAAAATTGAGGAACACAAGGCAGAGGTACCCGCTCTGATGGAGAAAAGGTCCAACATCATGGAGAAGATCAAC